TACCGGAAAAGGACGAGGGGGTCACCGGAGAAGCCATTATGGGGAGGAAAAGGGGAAAAGTTACCATATTTGGTTAAATAAAGTAGGTGAGATCTGGAAAATTTGAAAACCCTAACTTCTTTGAGGAGTCATCGGGAGACGTGCCTGAGAGAGAAAAGTCTAATTTTTATTTACTTGGAATATTATGATGTGCTGCTTCTTATCTATATATGTGTGCTTCGGTTAAATGTATAAAAGAGGGAAGAAGAAGAAGAGGACGTGTATAACGATGACGTGAGTGACAAGGAAGAAGAAGGAGCCGTAATTGGAATGTGGAGTGCGATTTTTTGGCTTATTATAATGACACTTCTCGTTGCTTTGCTCTCAGAGTACATTGTCTCCACTATCCAGGTATGTGTTGACTATATTTTTTGGGAAAATATGTTTAATCAAAATTGTAATGTATTCTTGAAAAGTTAAAACCGGTAAATTGATAAATTCCATAAACCAATTAACATGGACAGGACGCAGCAGACTCGTGGGGATTATCAGTGGGATTCATAGGAATAATATTATTACCAATTGTTGGTAATGCAGCTGAGCATGCTGGTGCTGTCATCTTCGCCTTCCGTAACAAACTCGTATGTTTTACTTCTTTTTTCCCCTAATTTATTAATTACAACAAATAAATATTATTTATTCTGATTTTGAACAAAATATGAAAATGTACAGGATATAACTCTTGGAATTGCTCTTGGATCTGCAACACAAATTGCTTTGTTCGTGGTAAGCAAATCCATTTTGACGACCAGTATAAAATAATATTAATTTCTGTAAAATTAGCTAGGGAAACAAATATTTCTTATAATATATATATTCCTCTTAGTTTGTAAGCTTGGCTAAATTATCAAGTTTAGGTCATGTAGTCTCAAATGGAGAATATGATCTTTCTCATAACCTGGTGCTAACTAAGAAAATATTTCATTACGGTTCAGTTTTTTTACAACAATTTAATTTAACAAACTCAAATTTGAATGTAGGTACCAGTGACAGTGTTAGTGGCATGGATAATGGGAATAGACATGGACCTTAACTTCAACCTTCTTGAGACCACTTGTCTTGCCTTGTCCATTATCGTTACTTCCTTAATACTACATGTGCAATTCCATTTCAGTACTCATCAAATATATTATACGTTGAATCTTGATATAATATATCTAATTTTATTAATATGTTAATATATGATTAATTTTTAATAGGATGGGACGTCGAACTATATGAAAGGCTTGGTTCTTCTCTTGTGTTACGTTGTCATTGCGGCATGCTTCTTTGTCTCTAATTCACCCTCAAGTAAGCTTCTCTTTTCGTTATTACTGTTCTGAACGATAAATACAATTATATTCATTTGCTTTGTATTTTCTCAATTGCAGCCGAAACCGATACAGCTAAAGCTAATCATACAATAACGAAAAGGTAAGTTATCTAATTTAATATCATTTAATTTGTACCACATTTCAATGATTTGTATATGCAACCCCTAGCTAGTATTAGTATATGCTAAAAGATTGAAGTTCGAGGGTACCAATGATCGTACACTACTCGGTATGCCCATCACATACACGATAGTAAACAAAATGAACAAAAAACGAATGTAACATTTCATAGAATCTATCATATATATATATATATATATATATATTGATGAATGTTAGTTTTAACTGTCACAATCATGATAATCTTAGAAAACCAACTTCTAGAACGTTAATGAAATCACTTTTAGATTCTCAGAATTCTGAGAATTCATTATATATTATGATATATGGTTCTTGTTTTTTTAATTGCAGGTAAACTCGAATATTGTTTAATTTGCCTTTCTTTTAGTGTATTGTTGTTTTCTCTTATTACATATTTAGTTTTTGAATTGTTGTGTAAGTATATACATTTTTAAGGATTTCTTTTTAACATCATTTTTTTTTGGATAAAAGATTACATCATTTTTGTTAAGGAATAAGTAAATTAAACGTAATAGATATTTATTACATAATCCTACTTTGTTCATAATAATCGTGGATTCTGATTACACCACACATCGATTTCACGTGAAATACATATATTGAAAGTTTCCCAAATATAAAGTTTGTTAACAAATTTCATAAAACTTTTGATTCATATCAGAAGATAAAATATCAAAATGTAATTACGATATTTGTCACTTTCGTAAAATCTAACATTTTAATTTCACTCACCGTTACTTTTGGCAGGAATTAATTTTCTTAATGATATGTGTTCGAAGCCTTGGGGAAGGCCCAATTGAGCCCACTAATTTGACTTGTACTTTGCGATTCCCTTGTGGATCCCATTAAAAATACTAACTTTTATTTACAAGAATGCCATCACCGGAGACAATTTATAAAATTTGGACTCAATTTTGTTGCAATAAAAATCTCAAATTCTCAGGCGAGATTCCGGAAGCAAAACATTCCTAAATTTCGCCAAGAGATCCGCCATGGGAGAAGAGAAGTCTCTGCTTCAGTTCCGTAGTATTCCTTCACTCAGGACCTCTGATTTCGCTCTCACCGAAGAACCTTCATGGAGGCTGGAGAACAACGTGTCGTCGAATCGCCGGAGAGGAAACAAAAGAAGCGGTGGCGTTTTTACCAATTTCGCCTCCCTTTCGGTAGCGATTAGGAGAGATCGGAGAGCATCTACGGTTAACGGTGGAAATGGCGGCGGAGGCGGAGCTTTCGCGTCGGTTTCGGTGGTGATTCCGAAGGAAGAGGATGAATTCGCGCCTACTTCGGCTCAGCTGTTGAAAAACCCGATTGCTTTACTGTCGTTTGTACCGAAAGACGCCGCACTATTCTTCGCTGGAGCGTTCGCCGGAGCCGCCGCAAAGTCAGTGACGGCACCGCTTGACCGAATAAAGCTCCTAATGCAGGTAAGGACTCTCTCCTCTCCTTCTCAACAACTTTAAGGTTTTCTGGCACGTGTGTTTTCTTTTTTCTCTCCATTTAAGAAAAAAACAAAAAAATATTGTAACTGGTGAGCACAACAATACACTGTCGTTTCGACTAGTTGTGGGATGAAATTGATCATTTTCTAAATCTCATTATTTCAAGTCAAGAAGATGTATATATATACCTTGAGGAAATATATGGAGAATGTGTGATTGTGTTCTTGTTACAGACTTGTATTAATGTTCATTGATTCTTACAATCCAATTGATTGTCTTATTGATTCATAGACACATGGTGTTCGAGCTGGGCAACAAAGTGCTAAGAAGGCTATTGGTTTCATTGAGGTATATTCTTATACTCTCAGTCATGTCATGTTAATCATGTTAAAAAGACTAAGTTTGTAAAGTCTTTTTCTATTTGGTTTTGTTTGGAATGACTACAGGCGATTACTCTTATCGGAAAAGAAGAAGGTCTCAAAGGTTATTGGAAAGGAAATCTACCTCAGGTACTCACAATTTCTTGTATCATTTTGAAATAAAAGGTTCGTAATTTGGTTAGAGTTTGGTTGCACATAATCTTAGTCTGAATGTTCCAGGTGATAAGGATTGTACCTTATAGCGCAGTCCAGTTGTTTGCATATGAAACATACAAGGTATATAAGAAACTTTCTATATCTGATTCTGGTTTCTTTTTGAAAGTTTTAGAAACCGTGTCTAATCACTTCGTCTGTTTTCTGTACATTCTGCCTGTTTATTTTGTTTAGAAACTCTTTAGGGGAAAAGACGGTCAATTGTCAGTCCTCGGAAGGCTCGGTGCTGGTGCTTGTGCTGGCATGACGTCTACTCTGGTATGTAATGTTGTGTATAGGTCGAAGTGAGTTTTTCTATCTTAAAAATACCTTAAGACTCTAATTACTTAATGCAGATTACATACCCTTTAGATGTGCTGAGATTGAGGTTAGCTGTTGAACCAGGATATCGAACCATGTCCCAGGTATGTTCATCGCATTATACACCAACTTTATGTTCCATAAATATATCAGCTTTAAAAGCAGACATGTCGTCACATCTAGGTTGCCTTGAACATGCTGCGGGAGGAAGGACTTGCATCATTCTATAACGGTCTTGGTCCTTCGCTTTTAAGTATAGCTCCTTACATTGCCATCAACTTCTGCGTCTTTGATCTGTAAGTCTACTAACAGTTAAACATTACCCCTGAATTTTTTTAACTAGATTGTTTTACATTTTCGATTTTATATATCTGCAGGGTAAAGAAGTCTCTGCCAGAGAAGTATCAACAAAAGACACAATCATCTTTGTTAACAGCAGTAGTCGCTGCTGCTATTGCTACTGGTACTTGCTATCCGTTGGATACAATTAGAAGACAGATGCAATTGAAGGGTACTCCATATAAATCCGTATTAGACGCTTTCTCAGGTAGGAACAAAACACCATTATCTGCTTTTATTCTTCCAGCTTCCGGTGACTGACCTCTTTATCGTTTTAAACCGTTGTGAAGGTATCATTGCGCGTGAAGGAGTTATTGGATTGTACCGTGGCTTTGTCCCCAATGCACTCAAAAGCATGCCAAACAGCAGGTATACTTTTGATAAAACCAGTTTTTGTTTTGTTTACTTCTTGTTTCAGTAATATTAACATTTTGGAATCCTCTTTCGTGTTGTTTCAGTATTAAGCTTACAACATTCGACATTGTCAAGAAACTCATAGCAGCGAGTGAGAAGGAGTTCCAAAGAATCGCAGATGACAACCGCAAGAGAGCAAGTCCTAACATAACCGATGAACAAACCTGAAGCCGCGATTTTGAATTTCCAGAAGGTCATTTTTGCCCGTTATGTTATGACCTTTTCTTGTGTGTTTTGTATTTTGGAATGTAATAAATGTCTGTTTGTGTTACGTTTGATCGCGCCGGTTTTGTTAACCGTATAAAACGATTTTAACCGGTTTGCTACTGTGGAAACGATACCGTTTTGTGGAATTGGGTCATCTATCTATTTCGCGGTTGCAGTCGAGAAAGATGAGGAGATTAGCGGTTTCAGAGAGAAGTTGTTCGACGACGGTGTCTTTTGTACCAACGAACTCAGAACCCTAAACCCCAACTCCATAATATAATTTTCGTCATGTACTGTACTTTGCGATTTCCTTTGCCTCTTCACATTCCCCAAACTCGAACAATGTCCTCCTCCTGTCAGCCGAAACGACGCCGTCTGGAGCACTTGCGGTGCTCTGCTCAGCCTAGTCTTCGTGAAGATGACGAAGAGGCCGATGATAGGAGGTAACCATCGATTCTCTTTATTTAACTTCCTTCCATCCTTCCTGTTTTGATTCTCGAGAAGAAAACCGAGATGGAATTTTTTTTTATATATTTTTTGCAAATGTAATGTTGATAGTGTTGGAGTTGCAAGACGAATTTCGATTGTGGTGGAGAGATACGGAAATGGCACTTCAAAAAGGTCAGCTCAGGTTTCTGTTTTTATATTATTGACCGAAGATTCATCGGTATATAAACACACTACCTCTTGTTCCTTCTTGTGCAGATATTTTCTAGATGATGATGATGACTCCCCTTTACAAGGCTTTCTCGAGGAGCGTGAACTTAAGCCTGATAACGATTCTCAGAGCTCTGATTCCTCTGAAACGAACACTCTTTGGCTTCCAGATGTTGTCAAGGATTTTGTTTTCCCCACAGGCTTTCCTGGTACTTGTCAGCTTCAAATTTCATATGTACCTTCCTTTGTTAGGAATCTCAGAATCCTAAGCTTGTAGAGGTTTTGTAGATCCTAATATGACTCAGTTGAGTTAATCACGTAATACCACATTTGTGCAGCGTCTGTTTCAGATGATTACTTGGACTATATGCTGTGGCAGTTCCCTACCAATGTTACTGGCTGGATTTGTAATGTATTAGTCACCTCAAGTCTTCTCAAGGCATGTCCGGGAATCCCCTAATTTATTGCTAAGGTCTTCTTATGACTGGACTTGTTCTAGAGATATATGTTGAGAATACTGCAAAAAATAAATACTTTTGCTACAATGCAGGCGGTTGGCGTTGGCTCTTTCTCAGGAACTTCTGCTGCCGCTACTGCTGCTGCTTCTGCTGCAGCCATCAGGTTTACTTTCATTCAGATGCAAACTTAGTTTGTTTGCTGCTGCAAATTTTTTTGTTCTTATAGTTTTTCCAAACGATGTGTTGTCTCTTCAGATGGGTCTCCAAGGATGGAATTGGAGCTCTTGGCCGTCTTCTTATTGGTAGGGAAACCATGGAAAGATTAATAAATGTTCATGGAGTTATCTAAGAGCCTCCGCAATAAGAAGCGTATGTTTTCCAGGTGGACGTTTCGGTAGTCTTTTTGACGATGATCCTAAGCAATGGCGAATGTATGCTGATTTTATTGGCAGTGCTGGAAGGTTGGTAGTAGAGGATTTAAATTCTTGGTGAGCCATATTTGGTTAAATCTGTGTATAGCATCAAAGTTTTGTTTGTTTTTTTTGTTTCACAGCTTCTTTGATCTGGCGACACAGCTATATCCATCCCAGTTCCTACTGTTGGCATCCACGGGAAATCTTGCCAAGGTATTCCTTATTGCAGTTTTCCTTTTTTCCTGCCTGCTGAAATCCTGATTCATATAGACTTTATCAAGAATTCGCGTCTGCTAAGCTTTAAATGACAGAGTGTAGATACTAATTTGAAATAGGCTGTGGCTAGAGGATTGAGAGACCCTTCATTCAGAGTGATTCAGAATCATTTCGCCATCTCAGGAAATCTTGGAGAGGTAGCAGCCAAGGTATGCTAGTCATGTATGTGTAATCAAAACCCAAATACGAGCATTTAGTAGCTTGTTTACTCTATTAGTGGAGTCTCTAATTTTCGTTCAACGTTTCAGGAAGAAGTGTGGGAAGTTGCTGCGCAGCTAATTGGTCTTGGTTTCGGCATTCTGATCATTGTATTTTACTTGTTTGTTGGATCATTTTCTCAAATCTTTTCATTAGAAGTCCCCATTGGATCTCATTTAAATCATTGAATTGGTTTCATGTTAAGCGTGTGTATGCTATAATTTTGATGCAGGACACGCCGGGCCTTGTAAAGTCATTTCCGTTTGTGTCACTTACATGGACGAGTGTTAGACTTGTTCACCTCTGGCTACGCTACCAGTCGCTTGCAGTCCTACAATTTAACACGGTAAGAGTTTGGAAATGGATTTTCTTACATTCCAATTTGAGAAAACTCAGATAAGTGAAATTACTTTGATTTGAAATATTGACAGGTAAATCTCAAGCGTGCTCGTATCATAGTAGAATCTCATGTTGTGCACTCAGTTGTACCAGGTAAGAATGTTTCTTCCCCTTATCCAGCTTATTATTCAACGTTCAAGTAAGACCTATTTTACTCTCTTTACAGGATATGTTGACTGCAACAAGCGAGAAAACATTTTGTTGGGGCAGAGGTTCATGAAACCTCGGATAATCTTTGGTGTATCCCTTGAAGAAGTGTCTGGTCTGGAGAAATCTGTTTCTAAGGTAATCTTTTCTTTTCAATTTAACTGCATCCATATGTCTTTGAGAGAATCTTCTATTTGTAAGTCCCAAGTTTTTGAAACTTTGATTCTTTCAGGTCAAGGCACTCCTTAAGATGTACACAAAGGAGAAATATATTCTTACGTTGAATAAGTTGAACAGTGATACTGAGTTTTCTGTGTCTTTTAAGGTATGTGCGTGTCCCTGTTACAAGACTAATCTGCTTCTCATTCTCCTCCTAAAGGGCAAAATTTATAAACCGAGCACCATACTTGCATATATTGACTCCTTCATGATTTTCCTAGTTCTTGCACTGTGAGGAAAGAACTTAGATAACGTTACTCGTTTATTTGTCTTTCAAGTAACCTGATAGAGAGTTGGGCATGCTTTGGTTAGTGATTAGTTGAGAGTCTTGAAACTCATTCATGGGTAATTAATTAGAGCATGTCAAGTTAGGACTGGGAGAGATCATAGAGATGACATATTATTTGCTTCTTCTTAGTTGAATAAGCTGCTTTAGTAGCATATGAGGTAGGTAGGCAGTAATTTTTCAAAATTATCGCCTTAATCAAGGGGACAAAGTTTCTTCACCTTGTTGGAGAGTACTCTCGGTTACCATTGGAGCTAGAGTTGTTTTAGCAGTAAAGTGTTACATGATCTTATAATTTCTGGAGCCTTTGCTTTTATCATTTCTTGTTTGAAACTACGTTACTTTACATAAAGTCTGGCTTTCTTTCTTTCTACTCCTTCTCCATCAAAGTATATCTTGAATGATTTACGCATTGTTTTTGCCTTGAATTCATGAATGTAAAACAAATAATGCAGGTGAATGCCACAAGCAGAGACGTGTTGAGATGTCTTTGGCAAGCATATTGGTTAGAGGAGAACATGGAAGAAAGCTTTAAAGACAAGGATAGTGTGTTCCACTGGCTGAAGCAAAGCTTGTCGGAGATGGACAACAAGTTTGATGATTTCTTGTTCAAGTTGGATACTGCTGGATGGAATCTACGTGAATCTAACTTGAAGATTCCCAACCAAGTTCTCATCGACCAGGAATCTATCCCTCTCTAACATTCGATTGATTGATTGAATCTTCAGACTCATCACGCAGTCTCTTGAACAAAAGAAACTAACACTTGAGGTAAATAATACCAAACCCTGTCAATTTGAATATGGAGTAATCTATAGGTGATTTGTAGAAATATCATTGTTTGGTACAGCTAATATAGTTAGGATATATCAGGCTTTGTATGGCAACTTGTTTAAATTTGTATTGTGTGACCTGATCCATATAAATTAAGAGGAAAAAATTATAATATCTAAGAAGTTAGTGTGGATAATGAGACAAAAGGTGAGGTTTTAGGCCAATGATAGGGAATTAGGGATTATATCTCCTTTGTTTGTTCTTGATTCGTCGTCATCTTTATTCTTCTTGCGTTTATTTTAGAATTTAGAGGTGGCCTTCCGAAATTAAAAACAAAAAGACAACATCATTTTTTTTAATTTTTTTTCCGACAAAAGACGACATCATTTTATAATTTGATTTTTATGAGTATAATAGAACCAAAATTCTGCTTCTCTCAGCTATTATTATCTCAGCTATTATTTCAAATTGTAGCCTAATTCCTATATTTGTATTAGAGTAATAGTTATGTTTTGATTTGTTATCATATACGGATTCAATTTGCAGTCTAGTGATCTAGACTACTAGAGCAATAATATATTTGCAATTTTGTAAAAAGTGAATTTGCTTTATTTCTGTCTTCATTGCTATAGTTGAGTTAGCGATGTGATGAGTCATTATCGCTATTAATTTGTTTCCGTAATAATAATGATAAGCAATTATGTCACGAACATAATACTATTATTGTTTGATTCTTTTGCCCTCATCCATATTCATTGATTGTAAAAGCACACGTAGGTCACACACGTAGTATCATCCTAAAACCCAAATTATTAAAAAAACTAAGCAAATTTTATACATGGCCTTAGGAGATCCAAGCATGCAAAAATATTCCATAAATGTTAATACAAAATCATCGATTCTCAGGGTTTTACTAGGGTCCACTTTATTACCGTATGGTACTTTGGACCTACGTACGCTCATGGATCGCGCCACGTGTCGTGGTTTGACCGACATCAAACACATGTCGGCCAAATACGTCTAGCTCGCACGACGATGAAGCTAAGTAGGCTCACTTGCACTCACCGCCGCCTATAGCAGTGACACACGTCCTGTCACCGGCGTGTCACTCAATAATTATCATATTTTGATAGTATTTTTCCATTAAAAAAATAAATAATATTATCCTATAGTATTTGTTAGGTGGATCCCAACGGGAGGGCTTTATGGTAATTGTAATTTACTCCTGAGAAGCTTTTTATTTTTTGTGTGTAGTAGTTGTAGGAGAAGTGTTGCCGTTCCTTCTCGAACAAAAAAGAGCTTTAGACGCTCGGCTCCTTCTCCTTTTCGTAAATATTTTGATATTACGTGTGCTCTACGCGAATTTATCAATATCTAAATCATCTCCTTCTCTCTCCTCCTTCTTCTTCCTGTCGCTACCTTGTGGTTGAGTGAGTAAATATCTGGAAACCATCCATGGAAATGGGAGAGAGAATCAATTCTTGTTGTTGTTAGGGGGTTTGCGATATTTTAGGCTTCTGTCGGTGATCTCGACAAAAAATAAACAAAGGAGCTGCTAGTAAGGTTTTTTGGATTGGTTTTGTTTTTTCTCTCTCTCCCATTCGGAAGGAAGCTGGTTTATGTTGAATCGTCTTTGTTCGGAAAATGCGAAAATCGTTTAAGGATTCACTCAAGGCTCTTGAAGCTGATATCCAGTTCGCCAACACTCTGTAAATTTCTCTATCTCTTTCTCTGTTTTTTAAAGAATCTGATCGTGTTCTTAGTCGATAGTTGATAATCGCCTCGAAAATTTGTTTGATGTTGTGGTTAAATCCTTTCTTAGTTGTTATTTAGGTTTGGCCCTTGCTCGAGTTGTTGATTTTTGTCTCCAGAACATATATTGTTTTCTCAAGTTTTTTAGTTCTATCGAAGTTTCCAGAGGATATATGTTCAGTTATTGATACTTGTGAATCTGAATCTCTGTTGTCTGCTGGGTATATGTGTGCTGATGTCATAATGAATTTGAGACTTTGCGTTTACGCGAGCTCATAAATTCCAAAATTTATTCCTTAGCAAGTCTCAGACGCCACCACCAAACTTTGGTCAGATCACACACAATCTATTATCTATAGTGGTCAATTCCTTTTCCTTTCGTCATATAGTCTGATTCTATCTTAAGTTGACTTGGTACGATGGAATAAATCTGTGAACCAAACATGTTCATGTTGCGTACTAATCTCACCAATCATAGAATCGAAATGATTAAAAACAGAGAAAATGACTTTTATGTGTGAAGGGCATCAGAGTATCCAGAGGAGTATGATGGTGGCTACGTTCAGATGAGATTATCTTACAGCCCCGCGGCTCATCTCTTTCTCTTCCTTCTTCAGTGGACTGATTGTCATTTCGCTGGCACTTTGGGATTGCTTAGGATCCTTATTTATAAGGTCTTGATTGATTTTGCTGCTCTTTTATTATTGGATCTTGATCCTCTGTTCTTATCTGTCTGATATGTGATTCTCTGTTTTTTTTTTTAATCGTAGGCATATGTTGATGGGAAGACCACAATGTCGCTACATGAACGCAAAGCTAGTATCAGAGACTTCTATGGTAATCTATCTTTACGTGACCAGGATTTTAACTAAATTGTCAAATGGCGCATTAGTGTCTCTTGAGCTAAGCCATTGTAGATTATATTAGACCACCTGGTATGTTCCTCTGACTAGCAATTGATGTTGATGGGCAGATGTGTTGTTTCCTTCGCTATTGCAACTTCACGGAGGGATAACCGATCTAGAAGAAAGGAAGCAGAAGGAGATATGCGACAAACGATACCGGAAAAAGGACAGAACAGAGAAAGGAAAGATGTCGGAGATTGATTTGGAGAGGGAAGAAGAGTGTGGAATTTGCTTGGAGATTCAAAATAAAGTTGTTCTTCCTACTTGCAATCACTCCATGTGTATAAACTGCTACAGAAACTGGTATATAACCTTTTCCTCTTTTCACTCACTCTCACCACTCACCAGCCTTTTTTTTGAAGTTATAGAATCTGTTGTTTGAAACAGGCGTGCAAGGTCACAGTCGTGCCCGTTCTGTCGAGGCAGCTTGAAAAGAGTGAATTCTGGTGATCTGTGGATATACACTTCTAGCGCCGAGATTGCGGATTTACCGGCGATTTACAAGGAGAATCTGAAGAGGTTGTTGATATACATTGACAAGTTGCCTCTCGTTACTTCTGATTCTAATCTAGCCCCTTATGCTCCTCTTCCTCGGTGAACGAACACATTCTCTTTATTTCTTGTTTTGTACATAGCAATTTCCATCAAAATTTCATCTATTTGTGTCCACTTTGTATATAATATTTATGTGTTTCCAGCCCTTGTGCTTCTAGTTAATTTGTTCAGCCTTCTACAGTCTCCGTCTCTGATTTGGGTTTGTATATAACAACCGTTGGTTATTGACATTTAGATCCAAAATTCGATATCACATTTGCTTATTGGCGGTACTTAACCACATTGTTGGTTCGTCAAACCGGCTTGTTTGATCGTTTTTGGGCCTAATTTAGTTTCGGTATGCACCGATTGGTTAAACCGGAAACCAGCCATTTGAGTGGAACAGAAGACCGTATCTCATTTACACGTGGCTTTTTTTAATTGGTGTAAAAAACTTATTTGACCCAATCAGATTATACCTCATCTAGATTCTATTGCCAGTGGACTTGAAACATCACCAGATAACTAGATAAGGTTAGTAATCTTATTCACCGTCAGATGGATTTGTGTATCAATCCAACGGTCGTAATCGTCTTTCCAAGATAGCTCAGCTCCGAATGAAAAAAAAATCACCTCCACGCATCTATAATCGTGGATCAAGAAACTGTGCATTCTTCTCTATCTTTCTGAAACCACAAAACGCAATCGCCGAAGATGGCCGCCACTTCCGCCGCTGCTGCAGCTGCTTCTTCCATCATGGGTACTCGGGTTGCTCCCGGTATCCATCCCGGTTCAAGTCGGTTCACGGCCCTGTTCAGTTTCGGAAAGAAGAAGGCAGCTCCCAAAAAGAGTGCGTCCAAAAAGACGGTGACTACGGACCGGCCTCTTTGGTACCCAGGCGCCATTTCTCCTGAATGGCTCGATGGTTCGTTGGTTGGAGATTACGGTTTTGATCCCTTTGGTTTAGGTAAACCGGCCGAGTATCTCCAATTCGATATCGATTCACTAGACCAGAATCTGGCGAAGAACTTGGCCGGAGACGTGATCGGAACCCGTACGGAAGCTGCCGACGCCAAATCGACGCCGTTTCAGCCGTACAGTGAGGTGTTCGGAATCCAGAGATTCAGGGAATGCGAGCTGATCCACGGACGGTGGGCGATGCTCGCTACTCTCGGCGCTCTCTCCGTCGAGTGGCTCACCGGCGTTACTTGGCAAGACGCCGGCAAGGTAAGTTAGTTATTTTTACCGCCGAAAATGCTAGTTAGTTAGTTATTTGTGACTCTAGTAGAAATGTAGCTAATAAACACAACAAAGGAGATAATTTTGCATTTGCTCTCTGCGACTGTCTCTTTTTTTCCTGGCGTTTGCGTTAGCCTGTTTGAGATTATGGTCAGTCAAATGGGTAACTTTTTGACACAAATTAATTATTATCCAATCAGTGATTTGTAAATTGTTGAAAGTCTTATGTTATTCAATTTGCTTGGTATTTGGAATGTATCAGGTGGAGCTTGTAGATGGATCGTCCTACTTGGGGCAGCCATTACCGTTCTCGATCTCGACATTGATATGGATCGAGGTGTTAGTGGTCGGCTACATCGAGTTCCAGCGCAATGCTGAGCTTGACTCGGAGAAGCGTTTGTACCCGGGAGGCAAGTACTTCGACCCGCTAGGCTTAGCGGCTGACCCGGAGAAGAGGGCTCAACTTCAATTAGCCGAGATCAAGCACGCACGTCTTGCGATGGTTGCCTTCTTGGGATTTGCGGTTCAAGCGGCTGCAACGGGTAAAGGTCCACTCAACAATTGGGCTACTCACCTCAGTGATCCACTCCACACCACCATCATTGATACCTTCTCCTCCTCTTAATAAAATCATGTTTATCATCTGATTCTATGTGTAACTTTTGTATAAACAGAGCTATGATACTGAATCGAGTTTGGGCTTTTGCTCGTTTGGTTTATTTACCTGTTTCGGCCCATGACATTATATTGGCCTTTTCCGAATTTATTATTACCTACTCGTTATAGATTCTCAAAATGAAATCAAGATCCTTAATAAATGAAACTGGCTATTTCGCATATACAGGCTGGCCCAATACTAAAGCAGGATTCATTGTTTTGTTCTGATTATTTTCTTAATTTGGGATATAAAAGAGAGAACGGTACAAAAAGATAGACACACAATTATTAATTTAATTCCACAGAGACAAATGAAAGAAAGAAAGATAGTCACACCGCGTGGGATTTGGATGAACATGGAGACTTGACTACTCCGGTACTCCCTGTCACTGTTCCGTAATGTAGGAAGACGTTGAAATATTATTGTTTTTCATATACGTTTGCACCAGCACCGAAGAAAAAGCTACAAACACGTATTCAAATTAGTGGACGCGGAGACTCCATGAATTGATTGTAATATCCCCAAAAGAAATATTCCTTGATGATCTTCTTAATTAATAAAGGGAAAATTAGAAATAAAGGACAAATAATTAAATTATTGTCCCTCTATGCATTCTATATTCATAATTGGTCATATATACTTTAATATTGGTCATATATGATTTCATATAATTAAAATCCCAATATGCTCCCTGTCTTTTAAATTCTTACTAAACTATTAAAAAAATTCAAAATTAAATTGATTTCTTTCTAAAAACAATTTGGAAAAAATATAGGACAAAATCAACATTTATTTACATTTCATTATTTGTTTTGCCGTAGATAATTTCATATCTTCTTCTTCTTTGATTCTCTTGCTCATCAAAGTTAAGCTTTCGTAATTGTTCTCTCCTCTCTAATAACGCCATATTAAATTTTTTTTTTTCTTCTTCTTCAATCTCTCTCTCTATCTCTCTCCCTTGATTTCAATTTCTTTATGGAGCGCAACTATAATTTTCCGGGTTTTGAAGCAAGAAATTAAGCGTAATCTATAGGAAAAAGTGTTAAGTATAAAGAAAAATTCTAATTTGTGTTATAATTTATTCACTTAGGTATAAAGAATTTTAAAGTATTCAAAATTCAACTAATTTTCCGGGTTTTGATTCACTTAGGTATAAAGAATTTTAAAGTATTCAAAATTCAACTAATTTTTCGGGTTTTGAGACAAGAAATTAAGCGTAATCTATAGGAAAAAGTGTGAAGTATAAAGAAAAATTCTAATTTGTGTTATAATCTATTCACTTAGGTATAAAGAATTTTAAAGTATTTAGAATTCAACTTCTGTAATTTGCAGATGTAATCAAATTCACTATATTCAATTTCCATATTTTAAGATTTTTTTTTTTTAATCTAAATTAGATAGAATGTACTTTCTAATTTTTATAGAATAAAAAAAATCTTAAGAATATGTTTTCTAACATTCTTAGAACATGAGTAAATGTTAGAAAACATATTCTAATTTTTGTAGAACAAAGAACAAAGTATAGAATATGTATTCTAAAAGTCGTAGAAACTAGTATTCTAAATACCGTAGAACAGAAATGACTTCTAAATTTTGTAGAACATGTAGAATACATAATCTAAATTTTGTAGAACATGTAGAGTGTATAGAATACATTCTAATTTTAGAAGACATATTCTAAACTTTATAGATCAAATTATATCCATCTAAAACGAAAACAAAACAATATATTTTTGACATTTTATATATCTTCATGTCTTCTTTATCATTTTAGTACGTATTTTTCTTAATTATTTTTGAAACAATTTGTTCAATCTTATGCAAGGGGTAGTTTAGGAATAGTTGATATTTGTTCATAGAATTCATATATGGATAAAAGAACAAAATGAGTGTCCTTTGCACGGGACCATAAGCAAAACATGCAGTGATTTAAAAAAAATTCATTAACTGTATGAATAATCTTTGTGACGTTACAAAAAAGTAGTTTTCAATTTTTTCTAATAACTGTGTGAATAATCTGTGTAACGTCACAAAAATTTATTTTATACTATTGTCCATATCTAATAGTTAACTTATGTTTTGGTCTTTTGAAAGCTAAAAGATTTGACCAATTCGAAGCAGAACTGCTTTGAAAGCTATAGAAGAATTGCTTATCAAGAAAAAGAAAGCTAATCGAATTTTGTTTCAAACATGGAGAAATCAGAATATTTCTGAGTGCAAATGGATATCTAGTTAGATTAATTAATAACACACTAATTGCCAGATGATTTGGGGTTAAAAACCTTTGATTACCACCTCACAAATTGTTAGTCATTAATAATTTGTTTAGATTTTTAAAACCAGTTGTAAATTATTCACAAATTGTTAACAAAAAAAAATATAAGTTACCATCCTTTAACCAGTGATAAATGATAATCCCTCATCTAAAAATTTTGATTATCAGAATATTATATTGCTTACAATGGAAAAAGAAAATTAATTAACAAAAAAGAAAGTGAACATGCATTATCCACTACTGACTGATACGAGAAGTCGAAGAAACTCTGTTGACGAACGAAGAAGCGATTGCGCTCAACGAATCATATCCTACAAAATTGGATCCGAATTCGCTTTTTGAAGACTTTGAATATCCCCACTCATCGTCAATATCAGGAACATTCTCATCTCTGTTCAGGTACCTGAGCACCATTCTCATCGGCGGCCGAGACGTCGGTTTTTGGTGGCAACAGAGCAAACCGACGGCGAGAGCAAGCCTTGCCTCTCCTTCGTCGTAACCAGATCCGATTCTCGGATCGATCGCGCTGAGGATCTCACCGCTCGCTTGTAGCTCCATGACCCAATCGACTAAGAAGAAGCTACAGGAATCCGTCGGTTTTCTCCCGGAGACGATTTCTAACAGCAAAACGCCAAACGCGAAAACATCAGACGCAGATGAGGGGTTACCGTTGCGGGAGAGCTCTGGCGCCATGTACCCAATGGTTCCAACGAGTGCTGTTGTCTGCGATAGCGTTCCGCGTTCGTAAAGCCTCGCGAGTCCAAAATCTCCCAATCTAGGGTTCATCTTTGAATCAATCAAAACGTTGCTAGGTTTCACGTCTCTGTGAATCACAATCTTTTCCCATTCTTCGTGAAGATACAACAAACCAGACGCGATTCCTTTAGCGATCTGGAAACGCGCGTTCCACGACAACACGGCGCCGCTTCTTCTCGGTACAGTGTAGAGCAGAGAGTCTAAGCTTCCGTTGGGGATGTAATCGTAAATCAACAAGAGATCGTTTTTGTGTTTGCACCATCCTTGGAGGTTGACCAGATTCTTATGCCTTAATTTCCCCAAACTCTCGATCTCTGCGACAAATTCTCGAACACCTTGCCTGCTACTGGGAATTATCTTCTTCACAGCGATTGGATCCGAATTTGGGAGTTTTCCTTTGAAAACGGTTCCAAATCCTCCGGTTCCGATGATCCCCGTCTTCTTGAATCCATCCGTGGCTACGTAGAGATCTCTGTATCTCAATCTGCGAGGATGATCGATTTCCCAGTCTTCAAGAGTCTCTTCTTGTCCCAATCTCTTTTTGTACATGACGAAGAAGAAGAGCAACACAAGCATGACCAGCATTACGGCCGATAAAGACACGATCATAACAATGACTTGAGAATTTAAACCTTCTTTCTTCGCCTTATTCGGCGGCGGAGGAGGAAGCTCCGAGAGATCGAGTTCGTCTGCAATTGGACGTTCTCCGCCGCTTGAGAAACTCCAACCCATTACGTAATGAGCACTCGACTGACCTTTCCCCGTCGACGCGGTGAATCCGACGTACATTTCTTGTTGCACAATCTCTAACAGTTTTGGAACATGTTGAGAGATCAAAGGCTTTGTGGGTTTAAACCCCAATCTCGCCGGATAAACGGTGACGTTTAGCATTTGTGTTGGTCCATCATACTCCAAAAGTGCTTGAATCGGATTGCCACTCTCAAGCTGGAAATCTTCTTTTTTGTTAGGATCATCATTGTTGTAATACACGACTGGTTCTTGGAGATCCGAAGTACGACTGTTGTAATTCAGACCGATGTCGTTTCCTATTCTGTCGGTGTTGTCGTCTCTGGATCCTTGCACCGTGTCAAATTCCACTGCGAAAACGTGATTCCTAGGATCCCCATTGTTCTCTTTGTTGAAAACTCCCAAGTACTGTGCGGATCCAGCATTGAGACGATAAGGGGTTGGAGATAGTGTGAATGTGAATCCAAAACCTTTATTGCTTGAGCTTGAAGGGATTATGACAAAGACGAAAGAAGTGCTAAAGGAACGAACTCTGACGTTTGTGGAATTTCTACTAGTCTCCAGCAATCTCACCGGTTTGTGGTAGAAAGCCGTACCGGTAACGTTTGACTTCCGATCAGTGAGCCTCAATAGTCCGTCGGGTTTGATCATCGCGGCTCCTTCAATCCGAATCTTTGATTGGTTTCCAAGAAAACCTCGGAAAGTAAAATCTGTTGTTGTTCTCTGAGCCCCAACATGGACGCTCAAAAACAGGAAAAGCTTGAATAAGAGTGAGACTAAGACAATGGATCTTGCAGTGCCCATAGTGAGCGAAATAAAAAAAGGAGATATACTTTGAAGAGTTCTTGTTTAGAGATTTTCTTTTATGGACATGAGAGTTTGGTTTTTCTTAGAGTCAAAGAAGATGAAAATTATACCAAAACCAAAAAAGAGGAAGGAACTTGGTACTTTCCGCTCAATGTTCACGTTACCGTACATTGAAAATATATGGCACCCAATGTTTTTGTTAAAAAAGTTAAATAAAAAAGAAATGTTCGCTATTAATTTTCAACAAATAATTTTCATTTCCACTTGGACCATCATGTTTTATTCCTTAAACTTGTGGTTAAAAGGAGGTCCAAAGGCAACCATCAGGCTGACTTTGAAAATTTCGACGCTGACTTTAACATCCTGATATTTTATATTTTCCTTAGGAACAAGAAAGAGATGACTTTAAAAATAGTCTTATGGAATTAGACGTTTGTTATACCTTAAAAAATAAAAGATAAAAGTGTCCAATGAATATCGTTTAACCCGGTATAAGTGTTTTCTCAAACTCTGCAAGTATTTTCTCTAACAAGTAACACCCACGTATAATTTTTATAAATTACCATTTCTAGCAAGATCTAGTGAGTTCTAAATTTCTCCATGGACTTGATTTTTGTCATATAAAATCTGATTGGTAAATGGTAACACAAAATAATACAAACAAAAAAAACAAAAAACGATGCAAAAATACATGTCACTTTCAGAAGAAAAAAATGCAGTAATATTAAAATATCAATATTAATTATTGAGTGACTTGTGTTATATACTTATAGCTTTTGCGTCATTCTAACTTGTAACAACCATTTAGGAATAGACTCAACCCAACAAATTTATTTTTAAGTTTATGTTTTTGTTCAGTTTTGAAAGCTAAACGAATTTAATTGGTGACTGATATTTTCCATCGTATTTTAAAACTAGATAATCTTTTTCTATTATTAATCGGACAAGCATCTTTGCAATTTGCAAATGTAAAATAAATACTTTCACCGTCTGTCATTTAAAATTATTTTACCGCTCTTAGCATTACTCTTTAGTTGATAAAACACAATCCTTTCCATACCGTTAAAAAAGCGGTTTGTCAAAAGAGCCGTTATAAATGCTCAATACCAAAAATATGAAAACAAAACTTGTAATACTGTACTGCTTATAAGTTACAACGTGAATTTGCACTATCTACCACTGACAACAGAGCTTGAAGACATCCTTGTAACGGAGAACGATGCGACTGAGCTCGAAACCCTATCCGATGAAACATATCCTTCAAAGTTGGATCCTAAATCCCTTCTTGAAGAATCTGAGTATCCCCAATCGTTATCAATTTCAGGAACATCTTCGTCCCCGTTCAAATACCTAAGCACCATTCTCATCGACGGCCTTGACGTCGGTCTTTGATGGCAACAGAGCAATCCCACAACAAGAGCAAGCCTTGCCTCTACGCTGTCGTAACCAAATCCAAGTCTCGGATCCACCGCGTGAAGAATCTCTCCTCTCGCGTGCAATTCCATAACCCAGTCTGCCAAGAAGAAGGTCCCTGAGTCCGTCGGTCTTCTCCCGGAGACTATCTCTAATAGCAAAACGCCAAACGCAAAAACATCAGACGCAGACGAAGATCTGCCGTTGCGGGCCAGCTCTGGCGCCATATAGCCAATCGTGCCCACGACTACGGTCGTTTTTGATTGCGATCCGCGTTCGTAAAGCCTGGCGAGTCCAAAATCTCCCAACCTAGGATTCATATCTTCCTCAATCAAAACGTTGCTAGGTTTTATGTCTCTGTGAATCACAATCTTTTCCCATTCTTCATGGAGATACAACAAACCAGACACGATTCCTTTAGCGATCTGAAAACGTGCGTTCCACGACAAAACGGCGCCGCTCTGTCTTGGTCTACTGTAAAGCAGCGAGTCTAAGCTTCCATTAGGGATATAGTCATAAATTAACAAGAGGTCGTTTTTTTGCTTGCACCATCCTTGAAGGTTGACCAGATTCTTATGCCTTAATCGTCCCAAACTCTCAATCTCTGCTATAAATTCTCGAACACCTTGCATACTATTGGGAGTTATCTTCTTCACGGCGATTTGATCAGACAAAGGAGACGAGATGTTTCCTCGGAAAACGGTTCCGAATCCTCCAGTACCGATAATCCTATTCTCCTGAAATCCATCAGTAGCAGCGTAGAGATCTTTATATCTGAGTCTGTGAGGATGATTGATTTCCCAGTCTTCAAGAATCTCTCCTTGTTGCAATCGTTTCTTATACATCACGAAGAAGAAGAGTAACGCAAGCAAGACCAAGGTTACGCCCGATAGAGCTACGATCAGAGCGAGTACTTGAGAATTGTAACCTCTCTTCTTCGCCGTATTCGGAGGGGGACGAGGAAGTTCCAACAGGTCAAGAGTGTCTGCAGTCAGAAGATCGCCGCCGCTAGAAAAACTCCAGCCCATGATGTAATGAGCACTCGACTGATTTCTCCCTGTAGCTGCTGTGAATCCGACATACATTTCTTCTTGCACGATCTGCGATAATTTCGGAACCGGTCGGGAGATCAAAGGCCTTACGGGTCTAGACTTCAAGTTAGCCGGGTAGACAGTTAAGTTTAGCGTTTTAGTTGGCCCATCGTAATCTAAAATTGCTCGGATCGGATCGCCGCTCTGTAGTGGGAAATCCTCTTTCCGGTCAGGATCTTCGTTGTCGTAATACACGACCGGTTCTTGAACATCAGATGTTAAACTGTTGAAATTTAGACCGATGTGATTGCCTGTTCTATCGGCACCGTCTTTGAAACCTTGCACCGTGTCGAATTCCACCGCGAAAACATGATTCGTCAAATTCCCGTCGTTCCCTTTGTTGAGAAGTCCTAAATACTGTGCAGATTCGGCTCCGGTACGATCAGGGGTTGGAGATAGCGTGAAGGTAAAGCCAAAACCTCCGTTGCTGGAGCTTGTAGGGATTATGACGAATACAAAAGAAGTGCTAAAAGAACGAACCGTAGCGTTTGTGGAACTTGTATTGGTCTCCAGCAATCTCACCGCTTTGTGGTAGAAAGATGTACCGGTAACGTTCGAGTTTCGGTCAGTGAGCCTCAATAGGCCGTCGGGTTTGATCGTCGCAGCTCCCGCAGTCACAATATTCGATTGGTTTCCACTAAAACCTCGGAAAATAAACTCTGTTATTGGAGTCTCCGTTGTTGTTCCTTGAGCTCGAGTAGGGATGGTCAAAAGCAAGAAGAGCACGAGCTTTAATAAGATTATGGATCTTGCAGTACCCATTGATCGGTTGAAACAAAAAAAAAAAAAACAGAGAGAAGGCGAAGGCGTTTTGGAAAGAGAACAAGAAGAAGATAAGACGTGATGCTTCTCCAAATTTTAAGGACTAGAGAAGCTGTTATAATTAGGAGACTGAAGAAAAGAAGAATTTATAAGTTTTAAACAAGAAATTGCGTATGTTCTCCCTCTTCACAAACTGGTTCACATTAGCGAGTATTGAAAAATATATATATGAAACTCCAATGCTTTGTGGTCAATTTAATATTTGGAAGAAAAAACACTTAAAATAATTGACAAATACATATTGATTGTCAACCAAGAAATTTTCAATATTTTAAAGTTGTGGCTAGGACCAAAATACTGTCATTTATCATTTGTTAGTACTTATAAGATATCAATGATTTGGCTGTTTAAGATGATTTTGAAATTGATTTCTAAACTTGTGTTATTCAATCGATTATTATTTGGGAAATTGTTAAAAATACCCCTTTTGGTGTGCCTCTTTTCAAAAATGCCTTTTTTAGATGTCCATTTTCAAAAATATCTTTTTTTTTAAATCTGAAATTTTTATAAAGTTTTATTAGGTTTATAAGGTACTTATGAATTGTAACTACTACTTGAAGACTCGATCCAAGTATTTATAAAGTTTTATAAGGTGTTTTAAAAGGTTTTACAAGTTATTTTAAAAGATTTTAAAGGTTTTTCAAAGGTTTTACAAGATATTTTAAAGATTTTTAAAGGTATTTAAAATGTATTTATAAGGTATTTATAAAGTATTTATAAGATTTTAGATACATAGAAATGTAGTTTGTGTATGTTTTAATAATATTACATACATATTTGGGTAAATCTTATATTTTTAAGAGCAATTTTTATAAGGTTTTAAAAAATGGGTATTTTTGAAAAGTGACATTGAAAAAATGGCATTTTTGCAAAAGCCCCTTATTATTTTGTAGTTTTACTTTACTCGAAACAAGTATCATTGATGATTTTCAACTACAAATTACATTTTAGTTTTATTCATCTAGTGATTTTGAAATACAATTATGCAAACTAAATATTTAATAAATTTACATTTTTTGGGGGTTAAAATGCAAAACCATATTAAGATATTTACAAATTGAATATTAAAAAATTATCTAAATTTCATGTTTTCTTTTATGCTGGAAACGAAATTGTTTTTTTTTTCTTTCTCAAAAGTCCTACGCATATATGGTCTGTCTTTGACAAATTCCACATCATACTTTGAATATGCAGATATTTTATATTTTGTAGGGGCTAAAAACCAAAATAAATTGACTTTGAACATGGACATTGTGTGATTTAAACTCTAAAAATAAAATAAAATAATATTTGTGATTAGATTGAGTTCCGAACTTATATGACTGCAGTAACTTTTCTTCCCTTTATACGTTAATCTTACCAATGATTAGTAACAACAATATCGTATGATTACTTTAAGCACTTTTTCACATTTACCACAAGAAACGAACTTATTAGTCACGTCTCGTGGGTCTATCGTCATTACCGCATACTCCCTCCATTTCATAATATAAGGCGTTTTGGATAAAATATTTTGTTTTACAATATAAGTCGCTTTTGAGTTTCAATGCAAATTATATATTATTTTAATATTTTATGATTATTTTTATTATGCAGTCTCTTTTATGATTAACTGAACTTTTAAAAAATAAATCTTCTTAATCTGCGTGTTTTTACCTAAAACGACTTATAGTTTGACACGGAGGGAATATAATTATTATGATTAAAAAGCATTTATTATGAGATCTGATGTGATGAGTGTTGCAAATTCCTTGATTCGAATTGTCACATACTAAATCCTTATCAGTTTGACTTTGTAAATGTTGTCCTAGTTTCAATATTTCCCTTTTGCGTATTTACTCAGGATGATCCTTTATGATGTAGTATTGAATTATAGAAGATCACGTCATGTGGTCGCGTTAGACTGGAAAATACGTGGTTTAACCCTATCCGATTCTAAAACAAAACCATGTTTTTATATAGTTGTTGTCAATCCGGTCCGATTTCAAATGGCAAATATGGCTTTAAATTAATTCCTCTTAATTAATAGGCGCAGCTTTTTGCTGGACACGAGACAAGGAACCCAATGGGCCGAGCCCAAACTTGAACGAGTTTAGTGAGAAAAAAAAAGAGAGTTAATGAGAGCTTGAATGTGTCAATCAATCTATCTACCACTGATAAAAGAAGTAGAAGAAATTCTGGTGAGAGACGAAGATGTGTGTGAGTGTGAGCTCGATGCCCTGTCCGACGAAATATATCCGACGATTTTCGATCCTAAATCGGTTCTTGAAGAATCTGAATATCCCCAGTTGTCTTCAATCACGGGGACATCCTCGTCTCTGTTCAGGTACCTAAGCACCATTCTCATCGGCGGCCGAGATTCCGGTTTATGGTGGCACAGAGCAAACCGACGGCAAGAGCAAGCCTTGCCTCTCCTTCGTCGTAACCAGATCCGAGTCTCGGATCGATCGTGCTGAGGATCTCACCGCTCGCTTGTAGCTCCATAACCCAATCGGCTATAAAGAAGGTCCCAGAGTCCGTCGGTTTTCTCCCGGAGACGATTTCTAACAGCAAAACGCCAAACGCGAAAACGTCGGAAGCGGATGAGGAGTTTCCGTTGCGGGCTAGCTCCGGCGCCATATACCCAATCGTGCCCACGACTACGGTGGTTCGTGATTGAGATCCGCGTTCGTAAAGCCTCGCTAGCCCGAAATCTCCCAATCTAGGGTTCATATCGTCGTCAATCAAAACGTTGCTAGGTTTCACATCTCTGTGAATCACAATCTTTTCCCATTCCTCGTGTAGATACAACAAACCAGACGCGATTCCTTTGGCGATCTGAAAACGCGCGTTCCAGGCCAAAACCGCGCCGCTTCTTCTCGGTTTACTGTAGAGCAGCGAGTCTAAGCTTCCGTTGGGTATATAATCGTAAATCAACAAGAGATCGTTTCTGTGTTTACACCATCCTTGGAGGTTCACCAGATTCTTGTGCCTTAATCGTCCCAAACTCTCTATCTCTGCGACGAATTCTCGAACACCTTGCATGCTATTCGGAGTTATCTTCTTCACTGCGATTTGTTCAGAGGAAGATGATGAGATGTTTCCTCTGTAAACAACTCCGAATCCTCCGGTTCCGACAATTCGATTCTCCTTGAATCCATCAGTAGCAGCATAGAGGTCTCTGTATCGAAATCTGTGAGGATGATCGATTTCCCAATCTTCTAGAATCTCTTCTTGCTGCATTCGCTTTTTGTACACCATGAAGAGGAACAACAACACCAACATGATCGATATAACAGTCGATAAAGCCACGATCAGAGCGATGACCTTACCATTGTAGCCTCTCTTCTTCTCCTTATTTGGAGGCGGGGGAGGAAGCTCCGAGATGTTGAGCATAGCTGCAAGTGGATGTTCTCCGCCGCTTGCGAAACTCCAACCCATCACATAATGAGCACTCGCTTGTCCGTGTCTCCCAGTCGCTGCCGTGAATCCGACGAACATTTCGTCTACCACAATATCTGACAGTTTTGGAACCACTCGTGAGATCAAGGGGATTCTTGGTTTATATCCCAGTCTGGTTGGGTAAACGGTGAGGTTAAGCATTTTGGTTGGTCCGTGATAATCCAAGAAGACTTGGATTGGCTCGCCGCTCACCAGTTGGAATTCCTCTTTCTGACTATCGTTGTTGTTGTAATAAGCCACCGGTTCTTGGACATCTGAAGAGAGACTGTTGAAATTTAGACCAATGTGGTTGCCTATTCGATTTGTACCGTCTTTGAATCCTTGTACCGTGTCGAATTCCACAGCAAAAACGTGATTGCTCAAATTCCCGTCGTTTCTTTCGTTGAGAAGCCCCAAGAACTGCTTGGGATCCGCGTCTGTACGGTTTGGGGTTGGAGAGATTGTGAATGTGAAGCCGAAACCTCCGTTGCTTGTTGAGCTTGAAGGGATGACGAAGACGAAAGAAGTGCTAAAGGAACGAACCGTCGTATTGGTGGAGTTACTGTCAAGCAATCTCACAGGTTTATGGTAGAAAGCTGTACCAACAACGTCCGAGTTTCGATCTGTGAGCCTCAATAGTCCGTTGGGTGTGATGGTTGAATCTCCTTGCATCTGAATTTCGGATTGGTTTCCTTTGAAACCATGGAAAATGAACTCTGTTGTCATCTCTGTTGTTGCTATCTGAGCTCTAACAAGGATCTCAAGAAAGACCATCAACAAAAGCGAGACCATGGAGTTTGATCTGCCCATATAAGTGATCGATAGAGATAGAGGGATAACCAAAAACAAAATTGAGGTAGAAAAAGTGAAACAAAAACAGAAATAACGGCGTTTGGAAGATGACAACAAAAGATGATTCGTAGAAGGAGAAGAGAGTTTGGTTTCTCTTACAGATTGTCGATGATCGAGAGATGAAGAAGTAATGAAGACAAAGAAAATAAAAATGAAAACTTCCTAACTTGCAGGTTTTTGATAAATAGTTAAATGACACATTATAGGATGCTCTATAATTAAGGGAAAGTATCTTTTATTGTTTTAAAGTCCAATGGAAGCATAGGGCTGACTTTGACAAAGTCCAAATTAACTTGGAATTTCCTTATATTTTATACGTAGGGTGTGAAAGAAAGGAGTCGAAATAAGTATTTTGGGCTTTGGAAATTGTGTGACTTAAACTATAATAATAAGATCTTGGAGGGGGGATGAAATGAGTACCAAAGCTTATAGTAATATGAGTGCAGTAAGTATTCGAATTTCGATGCGATTTACTTTCATAGTTTAGTTGGTTGACTGACTGTTATATAATCCCCCACATGCAATTATTTAAGCATTTCTCGTGCGATCTATCACACGAGACGATTCGATTGGTAAGAGAAAGTCGTTGTGGATTTGACTTGGTAAAAGTACTCTTAGCAAGTTAGCATATGTTCGTTGTTGATTTATTTTATTTTATTACAGTTCAACGACGTAGCATTGAAGCCTACAAGATCACGTCACGTGAGATGGTGAAACTAGAGGATGCCAGATAATAATGTCAGGTCAGCTTCGTTTAATTGGTTATGGACTTTTTTTGTAAATCATTTATTCATTCACGAGATGAAAAGAAGCCCAATGGGCCGATCCCACGTTTGAAATATTCTCAAATTAAATCGGTCCGTACTACGACGATCGGAAAACCAAATCTAGATATCTTTTCCCTCTGCTTTTGAATTTTTTTCTGACGGGTTTGGGTCGCAGAACTGGAGCTAGGTTAGTGGATTTGTTCATCTTCCGGTGTCGGAGATGGGAGATCAGTTGAGGAATTTCGAAATGGCGATATCATGGGGAGACGAATTGATCCATGTTTTGGATGATAGGAAAGGATTTGGTGTGTTGGTACAAACTCTCGAGCATCTGAGAGCTATCCAATTCTCCTGCGACGACGATTTTAGTGAGACACATGGATCTCTCCAAGGTTAGTTTTCCCATTTTTCGAGTCTCTAATGCCATATTTAGTTGGGATGATGTGTGTTCGATTGAGTGGTGAATTTTTCGGATTTTTATTTTGTTGCGCAGATTTGCAGAAGAAACTCCATGTTTGCAAGGAGAAGACTGATGAGGCAAATTCAGAGATTGCTGATGAAGAAGAAATTGAGCGTCTTCAGAAAGAGCTTGATGAAGAGCTAGAACTGGAGTGCAAGCTGAAGGATGAGCTTAGATAAGTATAACTAAGATTAAACTTCTCGTCCTTTGATTCAATGACATGACTAATTTTGGTTTTTTACTTGGTTTATGTAAACACATTCATTGCTGATGAACTCAAAGACCTGAATTCTCAGGAGGCATTCTTTGAAGAGCACATATTAGCTATAAAGAGGAATAAGCAGGAACAGTTGAGAACCGAGTAAGATTTTGACGAATCCACTTTCTTTTTTGGGGTTCATAATTCCGTCTTTATGTTAATTGATTGTTTGAATGTTCATATGTACTTGTTAGATTTGAAAAGTAGTGATTTTGCTTGTCCTCGTTTTTGGTTCTCTGCAGGAAAAAGCTTTCTATGTATGCTTCTGTCACTAGAGTTATACCAAACATTGATGATTCATTGAAGACCTCAGGCTGTATCCTTTTGCTTTTAACAAAACTTCTATTTACTCTGTGAACATTCTATTTTTTTTTCTTATTCACCCTTGTCCTAAGGGGTTTTGATCCTTGATTGAATTTGAATATACGACAGATATGGTTGATCGAGACAAAAGGCTAATGGAGAAGTTTGAATTTGATTCAGACAAGAGTACTGCCTACGAGACATGTAATGGCATTTGGGATATTATAAACAGGCAATAGACAACCTTAACAACCAAACCGCCTTTGCTTATGATTCTTTAGACGTAAAAAGCTTCATGGCCTCTGTACTATGAACAATATCCGCCTTTACCTGATGTTTAGGTTTCCTGTTTTGTTGTTATTTGGTGTTGATTCTTGTGTATATGCAAAAAGATCATCTTTCATGAATACCTCTCTGTAGGTATCAGTGCTTAACTATTTCTTTGTTATATGGTACTGTATGTACCTATAGCTTCCAAAATCTTTAGAAATATAACTTAAATCTTGGATGTTCAAGAAGAGTGTGTGCATCCTATATTTATCTATTTGTGCAGATTGTTGCAAATCCAGTCTTAAGTGTAGAACGAATTCGAGAAGTGCAAAATTTGATTGGTAAGCAGTTTCTGATTTCGCAAACATTTCAGTATCTTGAACTATCTTAGGGATTTTAAGGATTTTTGATTCAATTCTTAGTGATTGGTATAGCAAACTTGGTGAATGTTACTTAGCTTCTCCACTGAACTATTGAACCTGCTTAGTGTCTCCAGCGAACTGTTGAGGATCCTGCACCCTTCTGGTACTTGGTTACTTCCATAAGCATTGCATACATACATGACAAAGTTCTGGTAGTTCTGTTCACCAAAGGCACATAAATGAAAAGTTTGTTTCTTCTTTGAAGTAATCAGCTTAATTTATAGGACTAACCTCTTGAAGTGGTTGGTTATTCACAACCACCCATGGTACAAATCTGTGTGCTGGATAAAGTTCAGAAGTTTCTTCAGCATACCTCTGTTCAAGCTGCACATTGTCACATAGTTGTCATTCTTTTCTTGCTTATATGTTTAGCTTTCCTGTTTTAGCTGTATAATAAGTTAACTAACGTACTTTCCTCTGAGCAGGATTTACCTGGTTTCCGTATCCGTTAATGTAACAATCAACTGCTGCTCTGCTCAATCCAACCATTTCTAAACAATCAGCCCATTTTTCAAGTTTGTTCTCCAAGACTAGCCGTTCCGTACAGTAGATGTATCCAAAATGCTTCATCTGCAAGTGAGATATGCAGAGCACATAGCAGTCATATTAACAGTCAAGCCTTTATATGGTAATCTTACTGCATAATCCCAAGAAGCATTTGGTAGCTTTTACCGTTTTAGAGACTTACCACATCAGGGTATGCGTTTATTGCACAGGCGTGAATTGCGTTGAGCGCACACTCAGCTTCTCCGTGCTGAAAACAAAGCAAGAGTCAAATGCTATGTCCTAATCTTATGATGTACAATGCAAGTGAGACAAGGCAAGAAGAGTCCAAGACCTGGCAGAGAATGGTGCCATCTGGTCTGATAACGGCATTGCCCCATGGAACGAGCTGGAGATCAATGGATGAGATTAAGCCGGTTTCGAAGATCTTAGGCAAGTGATTGACGATGAATTCTGCACAGTAGGGGCATAGAGCTTCGTAGTATAGACTTAGTGTGACTTTCTGGCTTGAAGACAGAGATAAGAGGCAGAAGAAGATTGTGAAACTTGTGATGGCCAACCTGAGAAGCCTCTGATATGATGCCATTGATGGAAACAAGAAGAAGAGGAAGATTGCAGAGAAATGTTTTTGACTCTTGCTTTATTCTTCAGTCTCGTCAAACAAGCAAGCTGTTTCTTATTATTTTCACTGTATCGTTGATGCTTTTATTATGGTTTCAAGGCATCTTGGGCGTTTTAGCGTTAAAAGAATTGTTGCGGCGTTGTTTGAACTTATTGGAAACGGCACGTAGTTATTCTGTTAAATTTCTAAACGGCGTGATGTTTTAAACGCTGGGTTAGGTTGGGTCAGTCACACTTGGTCTTCCACATCTATCCACCTGAACTTAGTGATCTTCTTTCTCAGAACATCATCAGCCAATAAAGCCCTGAACCCTAATTTCTTTTGGCTTTGGCTGGAGAACGACTGTGTGTGTGTTCAACAATGTCGTCGATGAACTTCAATCCATTTCAAAACTGGTTCGAGAAACCACCGAACCCAGTCCCTTCCATCAATTTCGTCTCGCTCGCTGATTCCTTCTTTCCCAAGTCGCAGTCTCCGAATTTCGCTGCGATTGGCCTTCCTAAGTTCTCCAAGAAGCCCCCAAAACCCGAAACAGGGACCGACGAACCAGGACCGTACAAGCAAATCGCTGAGCAGTTCTTATGGGAGTGTGAGAACATACCGGATTACAGGCACACTCCAGAAGTGGATAAGATTCTCAACGAAGATCCAGTTTTCGAGAAGAAGGAGAATCCGAGCACAGAAGAGATTGAAGCTGAGCAGAAATGGTGGGAGAGATTTCGAGCGAGTCCTGTGGTTCAGTTTATGACTCGCGCCGAGGAGATTGCCGACGATATGAACAAGATGGAGCTCGAGGATAACGACACGCCTTATCGGAAAGAAGACAAGGATTACTGGAGAGCCATTCCTCATGTGCCGGGCTTTGACGGGAGGCCGATGCCTAGGAAGGCGATCAAATCAAAGGAAGAGAGTGATGATAAGTTTTGGGATTTCATGAAACAGTTCCTCTTCGGGCTCTGGGGTTTCCGGCAACGTCCTTACCCGCCGGGTCGACCCATAGACGTGGCTCAGGCTATTGGTTACAAACGGCTTGAGAAGCGCTATTATGACTGTAAGTACCTTCATTTGCTGGCTCAGTCATATTGATGTTGTTTCAGTTTTGTGGGATTGTATCCATATTCTGTGTTTATCATTATTCAATGAGTGGCTCTGGAATTCCGTTGTTGAATTGTATAGTCATAGTTTCTTGTGTTTGCACGAGTTTATATGGTTCCACATTTTATGTTGTTTATGTTCTGTTTGAAGATCCAAGCTTGTGCCTGTCGTAGTAGACTTGTTGAATTGCAGTAATATGATGAAATTGCGATGCTTTTTTTGTTGTTTCCTTTGCGTTTGATCATAACGTTTTGTTTGCTCTTTATGCTTTGAGATTGTAGTCATAATGAAGACCGGTGGTTGGTGGTATAAAGACCGACTTGGCCGTTCTAGAGGCCCTTGTGAGCTTATAACCCTTAAGACGGCTTATGGAGCTGGAATAATTGACAGAGATACTTTCATTTGGGGCGAGGACATGGATGAATGGGCGCCTATTCACATGGTTTACGGTTTGGAACCTGCAATTGCCACTTGGGAAGGTCTGTATATGGGATAATTAGAGATTTCAGACGAAATTTATCGTTGAAGAATCATTAATTTTGCCTCCTATATATGACTTCATTGTTGGTTTTATTGACTCGTTTCTTTCTTGTTCAGTGAGGCTTGGTGCAGCGGCAACGGCTTTCCTTCACAAACTCCAGAAGGGAATACCACCATGGGTTCCTCTAAAGGGACGAGAGCCAAAAACATACAAGCAGCTCCAAAAAGAAGCTATTGAGAGTAAGAAACGCGACATGGCAGTGCTCGAAGCAAATGATGGCGTTTGGCCTGGAGTCAGAACTCCTAGCCACGCTCTGTTTCTCTGGGCGAGTGGGTCTGAATTAACAACTGTACTGGAATCTGATCACATGCCGAACAAGTTCATCCCCAAACAACTAAGGTATAACACTAAAGTCCCTTTTTACACCATTCACTTTTTAGCCAAAAAATTCACCATTCAATTCTACTCTCAAAACATGTACTTTTGATTGTAGACAAGAGCTGGCCAAAGTAATACCAGGGTTAAGGCCATGGGAAGTGATAAGTATAGAGCAAGCTATGGATCAGATCAGCTATGGTGGAGAGTGGTACCGTGAGCCGCTTGGTACCTACACTACTGGTCCTCCTTACATCAGAGAGTGGAATAGGAGTGTCATGGTAAGTGTCTTCTCCTTCTGATTTCACAGACACAAACTTTTTAACTTTCACTGTATCTTAGTGATAAATTGATTCATCTTTTCTCTTCCGTTTCTACTTTCTGTTTGCAGAGGCTATTCCGGATTTTCTACAACCTCAGTGTTCGAGTAGGCCAGAAGCTGGAGAGGACAGTCCCGGGTTTTGACACTATAATGGAAAAAGTTCAGAAAGATTACGACACTCGGATTGCTCGAAGGATGAAGCGGAGAGAGGAGGAGCTGAGAGAAGAGGACCTGAAGCATTATTCCGGCCGTAGCGATGAAGATGAGGAGGAGAAGGACGATGATAGTAACTCCAAATGATTGAAGTTGAAGCAAAGTCTGCACCAGGTGATGACTACAAGCAAACATCCTGTTGTTTTTGAGTTCTTCGCCAGCAAAGTCGGCGTGTGGTGGATTTGTTTATCGTAATTTACGTTGTACGTACACACCACGGCGTTTTGGGCGTCTCGTGTAACATGGTTTGTTTGTTTTCTACCTGTTTTAACCAACGTTCGACATTGAGAGTTTATCAGAAAAAGAGAGGAACTATGTTTAAAACTGGATGGTTTACTCTTATGGGCTTAAGCATTTATCTCAACACACACAATAAATATTGTATTAATGGGCTTCGGTTTGCGAGGCCTAACTATAGTTTTTGCGTATCGACATAACCGACCCGGCTCGTCGTGTACCGAGATGTTAAGGTGGCGACACTCGATTGGTGCCCTTGGCGACAAGATTGGGAGTAGTGATCTCTGTCTTCTCAGAGTGAACTAATCGGCATCGCCAGAGTCCCCGTTAGCTCATTGATTAATTTCTCGATGACTATCTCACAATTATGTCAGTTTTTCTTTCCGTCTCTCCTAATTTCATTGTCCTTGTCCAATTCTAAGCACTTGCGGTGTCGATTTCCACTTCTGTTCCCTGCTAGGGTTTTAGCTGGAGTCTGAGCTATTTTGAGGCTTGTTGTTTATGGATTCCAAATTCGTTGCATTATCTTATTAGAATTTCGTATTTCTCTAGATTAGATGCATGATGCTATGATTTGGGATTATTTGACATTTCCTTGCTTTTGATTAGAGCATTACTGTGATAACTAAGTGTTATTCTTAGGGTCATAAAAGCTTCCAATTTTGCTTGTTCCCGTGAGACGGACTTCTTACATTAAGGCATCGTTTAAGTTTCCACTTGAAGAAGCTCAACTTTTTCGTCATTATATAAATAAGATTCTCAATCTTTTCTTAATGCTTAGTGGTTTGAAGAACCATGATGAAAAGATAAAAGCACTAAGGGAGAGTCTCTACATGAAAGCCTAGTTAGTGGTGTTTTCTTACGTCATGAACTTTTTATGGATACCCATTTTCGTACATTTGTCAGCTCTTTGTAGTACAGAGAGGTCTTTGTTTGGTTATAAAAGATTTTCCATTTGTCAACATGGAATCAAAGTAAGAGCATCTCTTTTGCTTTGATGTGACAGTGATCTTGTTCTTGTTTGCTGTTCAGTTATATCCCAGTGACCAGCTTGTCCTTCTCGGTGGAAAGTGACATACACTTCATGCTTCTTTTACATGTTCTTCATAAACAGGTTCGTTATGCTTACTCTTTCAAGTTGGATCATAGATATGCTCTGTTTAATTAGATAGGTCTGAGTTTTCACTACTTACGCTTTGTTTGGCCATTGACTCATTCATAGCTAGTTAGAATATAGTAAAACAAAAACTTCATTGATTAAGCTTAATAAGTTATTACAAAAACCATCTTGAACACAAAGCTTACTACTACAATCTTATTAGTCCATAACTTCCAACCTAAAGCTTTTAGAGAATCTTCGGGTTCTTCTGTTTGAACCCCAACATTGGTCGACATCTGAAAGTGAACTTATAGAGGTCCAGTCTAGTTCAGAAGCATCTGGTCGAAATGCCAAACTCCTGCAAAGACAGAAAAAATGTAAAAATTCCATTCAAGTCTTAGAACAGTGTCTCAATATAGGGTTTTGATTTGTACCGTGGCCTTTGCCAACCATCCTTAGCTGGGTGATGTAGTCTGAGATCTTCTTGATTGCTTCAATCTAGAAATAGTCCATAATTTTCTGAGTCAGAACATGTATAGATTATACAAGTCACTAGTTGTAGTCCGAACCAAGGCAAAAGAAGTTTTACCTGCTCTCCCAGAAATTCAGTCTCAACGAAATCAGCTAACTGGGGATCATTGTTCTCTGAGGCCACCTGATTTTGTTGGCAGAAAGTGTATGTTACTTAAGGTTAGGAAAATGACTATTAGTTTAATATTTGATGACTAAATGGATTATGGAGGGGACTTACTCTGTGAACGTTTAGTAGCTTCTCATTAGTGAGTTTCTCTAGAGACAGAGCCAACTCCATTGCTGAAACAAAGATTAGTAATAAACTAATAAATATCTGTATCTTTTAAAAAGGAAGAAGTTATTTTAGGATTAAGATATAGTGTATTTGATTAAACTTTACCATATAATGCATCTCCTTTTTCAGCATGTTCGAATTCCGAGACAGGTGCGACGATTGGGTGGAGTTTCACTCTTCCTCCTCTTTGGTTCTGTATACACACACAAACCAACAATAGGAAAATTAACTCAAATCACAAATCTTTTTCAACTTCTAAAACTTTCCTTTAAAAATTACTTGGTAAATAGTAAAAGAGAAAAGAAGGTAAACATAGAAAACCTGGTACTCCATGAACTTCTCAGCATGCCCTCTCTCTTCCTCACTTGATTCCTTGAAAAATCTGGTGATTATAAAAAACCCATGTTTAGCATGGACATATGATCAAGATTTAATATGATTAAGATTAAAGTTAGAAGAGAAATTACTTGGCTAGTCCCTTAAGAGCAACGTTGTCTCTGTCAAAGTATGCGTACATTGAATGGTACACATAGGAGACGTTGTATTCCACACTGTGAATAAAAATCAACCAACGTTAGATCTAATCTTTAAACATTTTCGTTTTTGCAGAGCAGAAAATAAAAGAGAAGGCTTTGATGCTTACTTGATTTGCTCATTAATGACTGCCTCGCTAGCGTCGGCATACCTCTGGCGAGCGAGGGAGGCATGAGATGTGATTGGAATGGCCAGATCGGCTTTCTTCACCTCTTCGAAAGGCTGGAACACGACTCCGGTCATCGGCATGTTGTTTGTGTCCACGGTAGCCGCAGAAACGACGACCACTGTTCTGCCGCCGCCAGTTTTCCTGGAGAAGCCAAGAGAAACAGACGGAGAAGCGGCGCCGTGAGGGAGTAGTGGCTTGGGAGACAGAGCGGGATTAGCGGTGAAGGAAGAGAGTGCCTTCGAGGCCATCGTAGGAAAATGTAGTTTTGGGAGGGGAGTTTTAGGGTTGAGCCGCCTGAGATTTGTTGTTGTAAGAAGGTGGTGATGATAAGAAGAGAGGAAGGGTTTATTATATAAGAGGGAAAAGGCGTGTGGTCACCGTTGGATGAAGATCCACGTGGAGGGTGGAGATAAGGCCAGATGTAGGGGGCGTGTGGAGGCCTCGTGCTAGGTCCAATGGGGATAGTGTGAACGTGAGGATATTCGATCCACGTTAACATCTCTCCAAATAAAGTTTGTCTGTTTCTCTGCTTTCTCTTTTATCCTCAGAATCTTTTTACCATTTCCGCTTCCTACTCTCGCGTTGCCACTTTCCTTTTTCCTACTCGCTCTCTCCTATTCTTTTTAAATATCTTTTTTAGAGTTGTAGATAGATGATAACAAATACAAATTGTTTATTATAAAAAAAAAAAAGAGATGATAGATAGCGTTTACAACATAAGTTAGACGTGTAAAATCCTGTGACGCATATTTTGACATAGGAAATTTTAGGATAGAGATAAAAATATTTACATGTTTTAAAAAAATCACCAAAGCTACTACTAGCAAATAAGATTGTTGAGAATGGTGCAAACCCTTATAGACTTTTCGTCTAATGTGTATGTGGCTTTTTTTTTTTTTGAACACCGTGTATGTGGCTTAATATTCAGAATTTACAAAGAAGAAAGAAAAATTCGTGGCTCTCTAGGATATTTGATGGAGACGGGAAACAGATAGGTTAGAGTCGTGAGTAGCTCAACTCTACGTAATTTCCAACTAAAGCGCGTGAGAGGTTCCAAATGGTTCCTTGTCTTTATCGGAGACAATTACACGTCGGAGTAAGTACATTGTGGGCCTCATTACTAATGTCACGGCCCAAGATAAAAAATATCAAGCTTATCAAAGCTTTAATGTTGGCCAGGACAAAAATTAAGCTTTAAATAAGGGAGGTGTAGTTAGGCTTGTTTTTTTCTCTTTTAATTTTCTTGGCTTGATTTGAATCGATTCGTATGACTCTGGAATGCACAAAGACAAGGGTAGGCTATAAAGTGTTTTAGAGCTTAATAATATTTTCAACAGTAATTATAAATTTAGTTGATGTTAGTTTAAACCTCATTTCACACAGAAATATAATAAAAAAATTATTTTCAATAATTGATTTTCTACTTTTTGTTTTTTGGAAAGAATAGACAAGTAAAATCATGGGAGGAAATATTGTTTATGGGGGAAAAAAAAAAAAGGATTGATTGTAGTCTTTAATTTTACTCTGTTTTGTGCCATGTGGTTCTTCAGTTTCCAAGTTGTGTTGTAGCCATTTAAATCTGTATTAAAAAAAAAAACAAAAATATATAGTCCCAAGGAGGAGTGATAGGCAAATACTTGTTTTTGTTTGTACAATATAATATACTACTGCTTGCTTCAATAAATATGTGCTGTTTATGTATTTGCCACATGTCATATGTCAATTGGCTGTAGGAATAGTGCACAAATAACGAACCCAACGGTGAGAGAGAGAGAGAAAAACAAAGGAAGAAGAAAGTCGTCTCGTTCGTTTTCTCAAAATCTTGTCCTTCTTTCTTCCTCTCTGTTGATTTGAAAATCTGAGAGAGAGAGAGAGAGAGAGAGAGAGAGAGAGAATGGATCAGATCTTCAACAAGGTTGGATCCTACTGGTTAGGCCAGAAGGCCAACAAGCAATTTGACTCCGTCGGCAACGATCTCAACGTACGTCTTTTTTGACACATTCTATAGAATCTGATTCATCTGTTATCCTGATCGATTTTGACTCAAGCAATCTGGTTCCTTCATGTGATTGTGTGTTTTTCATTCCGATGTAATCAACGTCCTCTATCGTAATTCTTGTATATATCCTGCAGTTGTACCATGTTTGAGGTCATTCGTAGGTAAATCACAACACATAAGGAAGAACCAAAACAATGATGATTTGATGATTTTATTTCTCATTGCCATTATTACATTCAACAGTTAGTTAGATGATTTTGTTTGAACCGTGTGATCATGAACATTCTTATTAACATTGTTTTGTTTTTGGCAGTCGGTGTCAACGAGCATTGAAGGAGGAACAAAATGGTTGGTCAACAAGATCAAAGGTTTGCTTTTTGATTCTTCTTCTTCAACTGCATCTTAATTTCAACTTCTTTTTTTGACATTCCATCCATTAATTTTTGTCTTCTTGGCAGGGAAAATGCAGAAGCCGTTGCCTGAGTTACTAAAAGAGTATGATTTGCCTGTGGGAATCTTCCCGGGGGATGCTACAAACTATGAGTTCGATGAAGAGACAAAGAAACTAACCGTTTTGATCCCATCGATATGCGAAGTTGGATACAAGGATTCATCAGTCTTGAAATTCACAACAACCGTAACAGGACATGTTGAGAAAGGAAAGCTAACAGATGTGGAAGGAATCAAGACAAAAGTAATGATATGGGTAAAAGTGACAAGCATATCTGCAGATGCATCAAAGGTCTACTTCACTGCAGGAATGAAGAAGAGCAGAAGCAGAGATGCTTATGAGGTTCAAAGAAATGGCCTCCGAGTCGATAAATTCTAAACTAACTCCTTCCTGGCTGGCTAATGGGTATCCCATTAATTATAATTCTTCCAAAGTTTGATGATTTTTTCGTTTACGTTTTGGTTTCGATTCAAAGCCTACTGTGAGTGTCCATTTAACTTATTCATGAATCTGATGATAACTTCAATACGGTCGGAGCAATTCTACTTTGTTTTTTTCTTTCTCAATTGTATAAATAACTATTCGTGTGCTCGATCGATGATTTGGACGTAATTTTTTTTTTTTGTGTGTTGGTAATTTCTGTTCTCTGAGATGCTCAAAATGAATTTGATACTTACACCAAAAAAAAAGCATGAGATGATAAGCATTTTGATGTACATTTAAAGAGGTAATTATTCTTAAGTTATTTTCACGTTTAGTAAGGAATTGAATTTTTCTTTCACCATTTGACAAAGTCAAGTTGGGCTTTCACCATTTAACAATTTGTGTTTTTTCGGACCAAAATGCCCCTAACCATAAACTATTATCATTTAGTTACGTTTGTACTTCTTTTTTTTTTGTTTCATTATAAGTGAGAAAAAAAAATTATTGAAAGAAACAGAAAGTAAAAGAATTCAAAAATCTCAACTTTTTCATCTTCAAAAATCTCAGTGATAATCGTTTTCTTAAGATCTGAATAGTCTCTCATTCATCTTCGATTCAGAGTTTTTGAGTCGAGGAGGTGGAAATAAATTTCATATTTCCGGCGACGAGCCAAATGCAACAAATTTCCGGAGACTCAACTTTACCTTTTCAAACTTAAAATATGCTAGATTTACAAGATTTATAAGTAAAAAAACATTCAAAACGTAAAGAAAACAAGATTATGAGATAACTGTTAACGATGGCAAAAAAATTAGGGTTGCAGAAAAATATACTCAGGTTGAAGATGACTGAAAAATTACAGTTATACCCTTTATAGAATTTCTTCTCTGTACGTATATGCAATTTACGGTGTACGTACACGAAAGTTTCTTAGTGGAACGTATATGGTATAATATGGGAAAACGGTCTATTTCCCCACGAGAAGTATCACATCACGACAGATAGAGCCCAATCTATGACTACGTGCTAGATATCCCCGAAATAATAGTTTTCAATCTATAACCCCCCGAATCCATAGTTCGAAATCTATATCTCTCCAAAATAATAGTTTTCATCTAATTATCCATAAATTTTGATTTTACTCGGTTTACTGTTTTCTTAACCAACTAACAAAGATATTTAACCGGATTAAACCTAAGCTAAACCAATTACAACCCAATTACAACTAATTGCCCGACCCAAGAAAAACACCCAACCCAACGTTCTCTCTCACCCACCTACTGTATTTCTTCGTTTTCTTCTTGTTATGTTGCTTTTATCTAATTCCAAATCAAATCATCAAACGATTAAATATTAAAACTATTTTTTTTATATCTCTATGTCTATCTATGGGATCACAACTATCAGTTTCTCCAATGCATTAATTGAACTTTACCCGACTCCATGGTTAAGAAGAAGAGGAAGAAGAAGAAGAGGAAGAAGAAGAAGACAATTGGACAGTTGTTGGTTCCAAATGTTTCCTTCTGTATCAAAGATACTGTTGTTGTTGGTTTTGGTAGTAGGACACCGAAATTGCAGGACGTGTTTTAATTTCAATGTGAAATTTGATTGATTTTACACTTTCTTAGATCAAAATCTTCATAAAATGAATTTCTTCACCTCTTTCTTTGTATGTTTTTTTGAGAAGCTTCATCGTTTCACTGTACACTAGACACAAGTTTGAACATTCGAATTGTGTATGGAAGGAGGAGCAAGAACGATGATGAACATGGGAGATTTTAGGGTTCTTAGATTTGAGAATTTGGGGATTTTTAAGAAAATTTGGGGATTTAGATCGGGTCGGGTTTAAAATGTCAATTGGGTTTTAAATTTGGTTTCATATCGGGTTTAAGTGGTTTTATATCGGTTTAGTTCATAAACCGATTAAATCCAGATTTATGGAAAAATAGCTTTCGAACTATGAATTTGGGGGATTATAGGTTGAAAACTATTATTTCGGGGATATCTAGCACGTGGTCATAGATTGGGCTCTATCTGTCGTGATGTGATACTTTTCGTGGGGAAATAGACCGTTTTTCCGTATAATATTAAAGTGGTTGTAATAAATCTCTAACCACCCTCTTCAAAAAAAATTAAAAATTATAGGATTTGACTCCAAAATTAAGCCATTTTGTTACTTCTTCATATATCTCAATAAAATACATGCATATATAATAATTAAAAAAATATATAGTCAAAAAATATTTGTTCTTCATATTTCTGAAAAACTTATGTACGTACACGTGTAATAATGAACATACACCTTTGTCGATAAATTAGATTTGTTAAGATAAATTTATTGATAAAATAATAAACCAATATTGGCGATGGCGGGGATGTATTCTATGACGCTCCTACTAGATATGATGCCATTGTTATTTGATTTTTTTTTTCTAAATACACTCCCAACATACAATGTCTCTCTTGTCGTACTAATTTATATTTTTGTCTCATCAACTCGGGCATTTACTAAATCATCGAAGACTAGAGCAAAATCCACACAATTACCATTCACTTTACATATATCATGCCAATTTGCATTTGTGTACGTCAAACATTTACCGTCAGATACTTTCTCGTGTACATAGTTAGTAATGTACGTACATTCTTCCAAAAATCATGTCTTACCTCCTGGTTATGACTCACAAATGGTTGAATGTCATCATTTTTCCAAAATGATCGACATTTTATCAATTACGTACATGTTAATTAGTATACGTACACATTTCTAATAATCAATTGAATTTTTCATGTTAGCCTCATAGTAAGTTGAGTGTCATCAACATTTCTGACATGTCTTATCCCATATTTCTCAACACCAAAATCAGTCCACTCGTTGTAATGTAGTCTTCGGCACTACCACTACCGTATACGTAACAAATTTACCTTCGCATCATGTGTCTCGTACACATTCTCTAGTGTACGTACATTGGAGCAATCCATGTTGACATGTCCGGGTTGAATTCATAGTTAGCTGAGTGTCACCCAAATTCGCACTGGTTTCTCATGTACGTACACGTTGACTTGTGGTCGTACACTCTGCCAATATACGACTGTATTCCTCTGCCGGTTCCAGTCGGTGGAATGTCACAGACGTCCTCCTCAACATGGCCAACTCCATATTCTTCTACAATCAAATCATTCCACTTGTTGAAATCGTAATCTTCATCCTCCTCCTCATCTTCTTCATCCTCATCTGTTTTATCGTCTTCAATGTCGTCTTGCTCATCTACGGCCTCATTATTTCCATCTACATTTGAAGCCGCTACGATGGGATTTGGTGTCATTGCACTCCCACACACACGGTAACTCTCACCATCGTCACCATCGGTCCTAGGGACAGTATTCCCGAGTTTCTTGACGGTTGTAATGAAAGAGACAAACAAGGTGACACTAGGATCCCCACCACGAATCAAAAAGAAGGTATCCAGGCTCATTTGATTGTCAATGTAGACAGGAGGACGTTTACTTTCTATCATCACTGACATCTTTCCCGGCATCCAGTAACTAATTATTGGATTGCGTTCGGTGGACTTCAAACTGAAAACCTCGCATAATGTAAGTACAAATTCCGTGTACGTCATGTTTTCCTTAACACGTACACAACGACCAAACCAGCCTTCCCATGGTTCAAATTTTCATTCTTCTTCTTTGCATCTCCACTCACCCACCATAGTAAATACGGGAATATCCATTACCTACTTGCATCATAAATTCAGCAGAACCCCATTAAATGCAAATGAAAGCATGATTATATCTACAAAAAACAAAAAGAATTCCCAACTACACACTTATATACATAAATCTATCCTCATTCAGCATTTTCAACTAAAAAAATTGGAAATAAAAATATTCTGGGTTTTTATATAAAAACAATGTTGATTTCGAACACAATCAAGACCCTAGTGTGTTATAACAAAAAACTTCTTAACCAATTTCATTACTTACAAGATCAATGCTTGTCTTGGCTCCAAACTTTGTAAATCAAGAAGATCAAAACTTCTCCAGCATCACATTCATTCAGAATAATTTGTTTGTTTGATGGATTATGTTTATCTCTTACAACTCCTTCAGCAAATAGCTCAGCTAGTCCATCAACATGTTTGATGTCCGCATCATACGATCTCTCCAAACAGTTACATCCTAAAAATGCCTAAATCACATAAGTCTTATACTATGTACGTACACAAAAATATTTATTGGAGCGTACATGGTACAACATTAATTTAATTTTTTGACATCAAAATTAAGTTATTATGTCAGTTATTTGTATGACTGTATTTTTTTCATATGTTGTTCATACATGATTTGAATGTTTTGTTTTTATAGTCAAAAAATATTTGAAACGTAAATATACAAATTATTTAGATATTTACGTACATATATACACACACATTACTACCGTGTACGTACACATTATTACCGTGTACGTATATATTATTACCGTTACGCACATATGTGTATATGATATTGCTAATCGTGAATAGTCTTCGATAATAATAAATAAAATATTATTTAAAATAGAAATAAAAATATGAAAATGGGTCTGATAGAAAAAAAAAGAATTTTAACTAAAAATATAAAAACAATAAATATTTATAAAATGGAAAAGCGAATCATCTACTGACAAGTGTTTAAGATTTTCAAACCACACACGGCTCTGTGTCACGTTAAAACATACTCTTCCTCAATGTTTTTCTTTAGTTGTGAGGTTTGTTTCTACTGCTTCTCGTATTTGACATATGATTATGTAAATTGCGTAACAGAGCTGGAGTTTTGTGAGTCTCATTAGAGTCAATTTGTGTGTTGATCATAGTTGATTTCAATTATTTACTGAAAACAAATTATTAATATTTTTTTAATTGATTTCGTAGAAAACTTGTATGAAATTAGTAAGATATTTTTGGTAGAAATATGTCCTTATTTGAGTTTTTTCTATTTACGTGTATGTAGTTTACGGTATACACAGTATTGATTATAAAATGGATATGTACTTCAGTTATATCATGTACTATTGTGGAGACGGTGTACGTAATATTTATAGAGTTTGTATTTTAGTTTTTCGACTTCAAAATATGCTAATATAAACTAGATTTACAAAATCAATAAATAAATTAAATGTAAAAAAACAAAAGATTATAAGAAAATTGTGAACAGTCAATCGCATAACTGAACCGCATAACTGAACCGTGTACAGTGTACGTAACTGAACCGTACAGTGAACAGTACATCGCATAACTGAACTGCATAACTGAACTGCATAACTAAACCGGAACAGTATACATAACTGAACCGCATAACTGAACCGTACAGTGAACAGTACATCGGTACGCTGGCAGGGGTAAAATGGTTAGATTTTGGCTAAATTGTCAAAACTTGAAAGCCCATTCTCACTTTGCCAAAACATGAAATTAAAACTTGGTCAACTGCCATAACATGCAATTTACCCATTATTCTTTAATAGAAAGAAACAAAAGGATTTTTATTCTTTAAAATAAAAAGATAAAGACAGCTCGACGGATTCAATAGAGCCAAAGAGGAAGAAAGATGGGATCTGGTAAATAAACGTCAAAAGTCAAATTACAAAAATTATATTTAAGAAAAAAAAACAAATTGAAATAGTATTAATCTCTGCTCTCTCTCTCTCTCGCCTCTACTGAAGAAGAAGAAGAAGAAGAAGAAGAAGAAGAAGAGTTCTTCTTCCTCTTACTCTGGTGCTTGGTGACATTTTCTCTTGAAACAAGTCTCCGATGTCGCAGAGATGTAGCAGAAAAAAGAGTCGGCTTCCATTAGCGGGTCTCCTCTTTATGCTCGTCGTCACCTTTATGATTCTCTTCAACGAGCGTAGCATTCAGCAGATCCACCACCACGCGGCCAGTCACAGTCAAAATCTCCGAGAAGCTTCGACGTCCAATCTCGTCAAGCCTAATGTTCCTGGGAATTACTACTTGGGAGCTCTTGGTACTTTTCTGATTTGATTTTTCGATTTTGAAGTGATTCGTGCTACTTTCTCTGCTCAAATCGTTGCTACTTCTATGGAAACTTACTAATTGTTACTTAAAACAAATGGCAGAGGTTTTGGATAGATTCAGCAAATGCAACTCGACGAAAGAGTACAGTGGGAAGAAAATCGGATGGGTTGACCCGTTTGAAGACCCGGGTCTAACAGCAAAGGATGACCAGAAATGTGATGTCTTCTCTGGGAAATGGGTCTTTGATAATTCTTCATCATACCCTTTACACAAGGAATCTCAGTGCCCTTACATGTCCGACCAGTTGGCTTGTCAGAAGCATGGTAGGAAGGATTTGGAGTATCAGCATTGGAGATGGCAACCTCATGCCTGCAACTTGAAGAGGTTGGTTTGATGAATAGCTTGTTTATGAATTTGGGTGCTACTATTGTTTGCAAAGAATGTATCGAAACTGATGATTTAGGTGTTTACCATTTTGTCTGGTAGATGGAATGTGACAGAAATGTGGGAGAAGCTGAGAGGAAAGAGATTGATGTTTGTTGGAGACTCACTAAACAGAGGCCAATGGATTTCAATGGTTTGTCTCTTACAGTCTGTCATTCCACGTGAGAAGCAATCTATGTCTCCTAACGCTCACCTCACCATTTTCAGGGCTGAGGTAATAAATACATTTCAGTTTATATGCCTTGACAACTCTTTGTTCTGTTTTTTGGTGCGATTGGTTACTTTGGTGTATGTACCCCGCAGGACTACAATGCCACGGTGGAGTTTCTCTGGGCACCGTTGCTCGTGGAATCGAATTCTGATGACCCTGTTAATCACAGATTGGGCGAACGCATTATCCGACCCGATTCTGTTCTTAAGCATGCATCAAAGTGGCAATATGCTGATATTCTAATCTTCAACACATACTTATGGTGGAGACAAGACTCTGTCAAGCTCCGGTAAGTATATTATATAGACATCGTTTTCTTCACATCTGCAAAACCAAACGAAACAATTGGTACTCATTGCATATTCAAACTAAAGATGGAGCAGTGAAGAAAGAGGGTCATGCGAGGAGGTGAAGGGCGCCGAGGGAATGGAGATGGCAATGAATACTTGGGGTGATTGGATTGCTAACAATGTCGATCCAAACACAAAGCGAGTTTTCTTCGTTACAATGTCTCCTACACATCAATGGTAACAAAATACTTATCCCCAGTTCTCTCTATCAATATGATCGATTTTACTCTCTTTTTTTACGCATTAAAACTGAGCTGTTGAAACCGGTCAGGAGCCGAGAATGGAACCCGGGAAGCGAAGGAAACTGCTACGGGGAGAAGAAACCGATAGAGGAAGAGAGTTATTGGGGAAGTGGGTCGGACATTCCGACAATGAAGATGGTGAAGAGAGTTTTGGATAGATTGGGACCAAAGGTTTCGGTTATAAACATCACTCAGTTGTCTGAGTATCGAAAAGATGGTCATCCATCGGTGTACCGGAAATTCTGGGAACCTCTAAACGAAGACCGGTTGAAAAACCCAGCATTGTATTCTGACTGTACTCATTGGTGTGTACCTGGAGTTCCTGATGTCTGGAATCAATTGCTTTTCCAGTTTTTGTGAAAATGAAATGAATAAAACCTTTTCTTTTTACTGGGATGTCGCCTAAAATTAAATGAGCAAAGTACTGACGGATCCATATTTGTTACATCCTTTTCCTAATATAGACAGGAGGCCAAATTTAGCAAAATGTAAAGATTGTTTATTTGTACGAAATTTATGTAGCAAAATGGGCTTTAATAGATACATTCTGCAGGGTGGGTTAGACAACTTAAGGCTTATGAACAAAAATTAAGAGAAGAGGTGTATCTTCAGCATGAAGGTGATTTACAAGCACCGATTATAGATAGGACTGTTTGCCGAAGTTCATGGATGACCTGAAAATTGAGCAAAACAAGAAGGTTTTATATAATAATCCAATCTTTTTGAACCAAATAATTATAGAAAGAAGAAGTCGAAGAGTACGAACGGTGTTGGAAGAAGAGAGCTTAGCCCATGCTTGGATATGGGCACTGCTGGTTTTGAGGTGAGAAGAGTAGGCAGCTTCTGCGTTTATGAAGTACACTGAGTTCTCTGTTGCCTCACCAACCCACATTTTGTTTTTCGCATCCTTTGCTCTTTTAATTAGATTGCAGAATCCGACCTGCCAGATATTAAGTAAGACCCACAAACATTTTTCAAAAAGTAATTTCTTTTCTCTCAGTGTAAAACTAAACAAGATTAGAATTTGTACATACCACGGATCCAACCAAATTATGGCTGATGTGGGAAATAGAGCTATCTTCCATGGATGGGGTGCTGAAGCTTATAGCAAGAAGACTGTTTGAGTTTTCCCCTGAATGTTGAGTGGATCCATCTGTCACAAACACCCACTGCTTCTTTTGTTGAACATCCGTGTATGCATTTCCAACATATACAACGTACGCAGCGATATCAAATTCACTGAATGACATAATTGCATAGATTAGCAAAGTAAGTGCGGTAAAGAGTGTTTTATAAAAAGCTTGGACTGAGATTAACCTTGAAACAGGAATTTCACCAAGATTTGACAAAGAGATTGGTTTACGTGGGTTGAAAAAGGGCCTGAAAACACCAGGGAAATTGAACAAATAAATGAGATAGATTCCGGTGTGTCTACGAAAGAAAGTCCACGAAACAACTTACTGAAAATTTGCAGAATCTTTCTGAGACAAAGGCTGCCATTTCGAGCTAGATCCTCTGGCATGTAAGTAAAGTGTTTCTGAATCTGAGTTCATTGGTACCAGCCCTTTCATTATGTATACTTTTCCCTCTGTCAGCTCGGTTCTCTATCACAGTAGTAGACAATGATAACTGTTTTGAGAATCTACAGGTTGCTCAAGCTAATCGATGATGCTCATAATGCAACAGTACAGTGATGGTAACGATTGTGCATGAAACATTCAGATTTAGGCATTTGAATGTACCTGTCTCTCCGTGGGATCCCAGATTGTTACAATGCCTTCTTTTGGATTGTGCTCTCCTTCATAACTTAAACTCGTCAGGCCAACAAGCCTAATCCTCATGAATCGGGTGACATTCCTTTCACCTAAGCCAGCGTCTTCCAGTGCTTTTGCCACTGATTTTTCCATCTGCATTTGCTTGGCTGCCTGAGGTTCAGATTGAAGCAGTTAACTAGTGTAATCAATATATCAAGAAAAGGAAATTACTATTCTACCTCAAATTTTGCTTTATATATAGTGAAAGATGTCAACTGCTCTGGGCTCATTTCTGCCATTAGGAGTTCAGGTTCAGCAGCCGTCTCTAACAGCTTAAAGACCTTGGCTCCTTCTTCGCTGTCAGTGTCGTTCTGGCTGTGAACACCATTAATTCCTCTCTGGTACTCACACATAATACCCTCAACAAGAGCTGAGCGCCTACGGAAAACAAAAAACAAAGATGCAGGTACGAATGAGAATAAAACCATGAGGAACTGCAACCTTTGGCTCTTCTGTTGGCAAAACCATCCATATTCAGAAGGCCAGAAGCTTTTCTAATATATACAAAGATTGTTTGTCTGTCCCAATAACTACTTAGAAACCTAATATTGTTGTATGGAACAAAATGTTTCTAGCTTTGATGAGTTAATCTGACACTTCTTAGAAAGAGATGCATGTGCTAAATTGATCACATAAAGGTTACTAAAAATTGCTCTCTACAGTTGTAAGGAAACTTGCCTCTGATTATGCAGCTGTATAATTCTACTTTCCATTCTCTCTGATCGAACTATTGACTTCTTTTCACCTAACCTGTAATATACCAAGAAAATATGTCTTTGCCAGAAGTATAGAGAAGACCAAGTTGCATTAACAGGCACACATTTATATTAACCTTTCCTTGTATAGGATGGGGTATATTCGTGTGATGCCAGCTAGCGTTTTAGGCACTGGACCCCCATTGCACTTGATACAGTTGAAAGCCAGAGGGACACCAATTTCTTTACCTTGAGGAAGAGATTAAAAGACGGTCAATATAAAGATAACAATATGAAAGCAATAAGAACTCAGATAATGTAGTGAGGTCCACAGCATAAAGCTACTTACAGAAGCCTAGTTGGTCTGCCCAGTGAGCTCTGTATGTCCCATTAATATTCAACAACAAACAGATTGTACTTGAAATCACTGCCTGAAAGTTTTGGTTGAATGAAACTATGAAGTATGAAGAAACCAACCTGAGAAGGTTTCAGAAAATCTTATAAAATTCAAAGTCTAGGAAACCTCAAGTGGTGATGTTGGGGTAGCCCAGCCAGAAAGTCCTGCCCCGAGGATCTTCAGATAAGAGAGAAGAACGTAAGCATGCTGTAAGTCAGTGATCTAACCAAAACATGTGTTGCAAAACAAAATAAACCTTGCATGAAATAACTTACTCGAAGCTTCTGCCCGACAAACAATTTGCCAGCATTCAGCTGCTTTGTTAGCACGACATCCAGAGCAGCATTCATCGAGTACCTGTGATTTTAAAAAAAAAAATCCTTTGGAAAGGAGACAAGAAAACAGGTAACAGAACAGCAATAGCAATTTCATACCACCCATCAGTGAGTTCTACTTTCACATTGCTGCAAATATCAGAACAATGTGCTTCCTGAGAATCATTATCGGTCTTAGGATTAATAGCTGATATGCAGAGCACCATCATTGAAGAAGCTGGAGCATCACCACTCAGAATCCTCTTGATTGCGGAGCAATGACCATGATTGACCTCTCTCTCATATCTATTAAGAAAGATTAACCATGTTAGACTTTGCATGAGTTTAAATAACAACGAGCTTTGTTGTGAGACTGGGAAACCTGTATTTTAGTTCCTCAAGAACATTGGTGATTGTCAGAAAGTTTCCTCTGCATTTGGCTGGGTAGTATATGTCGTAGCATGCAAGTTTCCAGACTATCCACCTGTAGTGATTAGTGACCCACCTAGTGCATATATAGTGATAGATAAGTTAATAGATATAGACATCATTACTCACTGTCTATCTAGTAGAGTGACAATCACATGCAAGAGTAAAAAAAACAGTCACACACTTTTTTCTGATATAATAAACAAATAACACGGTTAACTTGAAACATTTCAAGGGGCAGAGAAATTACTTTCTGGATGCATGTTGTAAGGAAGCACCAGACTCAGCCAACATTAGAAGAAAAGTTTCAGCTCCAACCTTGTTTGAAGAAGACTCATCACAGAATACATATTTATCTGCATTACTTGATTTGATTCTTCTGACATGGTCTGGCACATAATCCATCTAAAACCACCTCGTAAGTGTGGTTTGAGTGAATGAAGAAAAAAGTATATGTAACGCAGGAAAATGTGAAAGGGACAAAAAGATTTTACCTTGGTCGTAGCTGTTGGATGCATTCCAAAAAAATCCTTGATATATACTCTTGGAGACTTTTCTGGGTATCTTGTAGAAAGCACCTTTTTGGAAGTAAGTGTATCACACGATACAACAGACAAACCTGATAACAGACAGATTAACATAAAAATCATATAAATGTTCCTGAAAAAAAAAAATCCTGAATATTTTACCACTTGAAGCTTGCTGAGCATTTTTCTTTAAAGGAGTTTTAAAGGATGAAATCCTTGGCCTTTTGAAAGGAGAGACGGAGACTGTCTTTCCCAGCCTTTTCTTTTGGGTACTGTCTTGTTTAATGTTTGCATAAGCTGTATCACTGCAATTTGTTATATCGACAAGCGGCTGATCAGCTGGCCTTCCAAATTGCCTAGCTCTTGGAATGAAACCGTTTTCCTTGGAATTAGTCACTGCCATATTAGATGCTATAGGCTTGTTATTTGATAGTCCATGTGTAGCAAGTTCAGTGATATTCAGAGCACAGTCTGTGTCATCAACAGCTGCATCAAATTTCTTGATCAAATTACCCCCTGAAGCTAGGTTCTCCAAGTTGACTGATCTAAATTGCTTTGAAGATGACCGAAGAGGAGATACAAAACTATTTGACGTATGTTTGTTGCTTGACTTTTCTTCATGAGCAATATAACCTGTGTTGGCACTTCCATTGTTTATAGCAATATCACCTAACCTTTCATCTTTCTGTGGTGTAACAAATTGATCACCTCCAGCCACATCATCAAAGAAAGACCCTAACTCAGGATCACCAAGAAGGTTTCTGGCACGTTTCAACGCCTCAGCTGACACTGACAATGATTTTCCACCAGCAGTCTGAAACTTTGTTGGAGGCACCTTTAAAGATGGATTTAAGATTTCAGGTCTCTTCCCAGACACATAATCCTCATATTGTCCTGGAGTTCCTGAATGATGCTTAACCACTGTAGCGTCAAACTCCTCATGAGTTTTTAAAACGGACAACCCATGTTGCTGGAGGGAAGAAGACGACTGGTTCACATGGTTAAATCCATTCAAATCATCTTCTTCTAGTCCTAGCAATGCCTTGGCTCTTGCTAAACCGGCAGAAGATACATTAACCTTCTTGTTAGAAGCTGTTTGAAAAAGCGTGTTGGGCACACCAAACCCACTCTCCCTGGGAAGAACGTAGTCTACACAATCAAATAAAATCTTATTAACAGATAAACTGTGAAAAAATGCCATATCTAATATTCATTCTCGAAACAAAGTAAGATGTGTGTTGATTAGTTTTTCATCTGATGACAACCGAACTCAAGAAACTGTGGTCAGCTTTAATATCGACCGAGTTGAAAGAAAAAAACACAGATAATAAACCTAGAAGTTGAATGGAATAGCACAATCAACAATTGGATATATAAATGCGCACACAACCATGCTGGAAATAAGAGTTTAGAGAAGAGGAGATAAGAACACACCTGAGTCAATAATCTTATCACTTGCTAGAATAGACAAAGCTTTGGCAATTGAAGACTCTTTCAAAGGGACAGATTTGCCCAAGGCCGTCCTGAACATAGGCAAAGTTTCAGCTGAATCCACTTGTCTCATTTGGGGATTTGAGCAATTAGTGTTCTGCAAATCTAAAGTGAAGCCAAGAACATGGAGCAATCAAAAGATTTTCATGAACCCATATCACCAAATTCAAGAGAATTCAGAAACAAATGACTAGTCAAGGGAATTCAATAGTGTCAAGTAAAGTACCTGAATCTGCTAAAAGGGATTTGGCTTTAGCCATGGAAGACTCTTTTAGAGGTACAGACTTCCCCAGGCCAGTCCTGAACATTGGGATTTCCCCAGGCAGCGCTTCCTCCCGTTCTATAAGCTTCGAGCATCCTTTGAGCATCAAACAATAATTTAATGTCCGAGTCGCATGACTAACACGATTCGACAAAAAAAGAAGAATCACCTTGGAGCAAGAGATCGGCCATGGAAGGTAGAGGAGCTGTGGATTCGAGCGCCTTGGTTGGAGTAGAATCCGAGTCGGACTGGAGAATCCGGCCAGCGACTTCCCACCGGAAACCATCGCCGCTGGAATCGGAAAATAATTGCCACGTCGACATTTATTCAGTTCTAGGGTATCGACTTTTTCCGATTCGTCGTAAATTGATTCAGCCGGAGAACTAAACTTCGCCTCTATCTAGTACCACACCCAGAGGAGAGCGGAATTTTTATTTTTCTTTCCCCCAAAATCCAAAAAGTTAAAAGATCTGACCAAGGCGGGAAAGTTGAAAATAATTTGGGCCGAAAATATGAGACGCGTGGTCTTATTTAACTTTGGGCTTGGTTTTAACCACGACATATATAGCGTTCCAAGACAAGTGAGCGTTTTATTGAGATTAAAACGGCACGAATGCTGCTAACCGGAAATCGTTCCAAACAACAATTGCTTACGTGGACATTGTAAAACATCTGTTCAATGGTGATTGGTGACTGACTTCAATGAAAAATTACATTGCAACAATCTCATCTCCACCGTCAAATTTCTAAACGACAAACTGCCAGATATTCTGAGAACAACAGTAATTAATTATACGGGGGATGGCGCTGAGGAGGCGGAGGGTGCTACGGCGGGGACACCGATGAATGAGAGGAATCCGACGGCGGCAGCGTCTTGCTCGTCCAGGAAGAGATCATCGGGAGCTCTAAAGGCGCCATGGACGCAGACCGTTGCTACTCCGATCATGAGAGCGGATATCAGTACAGATCCGACGCTTGTGAAGAAGATCACGGCGATCGTGGAGAGGATCAGGCCACCGAGAGTTTCGTATTCGGAGAAAGATCGGCCGAAGAGGACAAGAGGACGATCTGATGGACGGAAGAGGTAGAGGAAGAGCCAGGAAGCGGCGAGGCATAGGAGGAGGATGAGCGAGAATGGGTGGGCGAGAAGAGAGAAACCGAGGATCAGAGCGACGATGCAGACGTAATTCACCCTGAAATAGGAAGAATTCTTCCGGAATCGCGTCGCAGCCTCGGAGAGAGAGTCAGGCTTGGAGAAAGCGGATCGATCGAGGAGCTCTGACCACGGACGGCTACGAGATAGGCCACCACGGACCGTCTCGGTTACACCGTTGACAAATGCACGGACGGCTGGAGGTTGCGATTCCACCACAGCGGTTACAATCGGAGGCTGAGTGGTGGTGGTGGAGGAAATCGGAAGCACAGGGGGATGTGTGGACACCATTCGATTTTCTTCTCTGGAAATTGTAAGGGACGATTGATTTGGAGGCCGGTGAAGTTACAGATCGCACCACCTACACGCCTACAGTGTTATGTATTTATAGGATCACAATTACGCGTCTTTCAACTTTGATTTGATTTCCGTTGCTTCATCTGATAGATAATCTATATTTTGATTAATGTGACCATTTTTGCTAAAATAACCTCTTGCATTCTTTTATTCTTGGATTCCTCATGTAATTTCGAATTACACACTCTGACTTTTCTCATCCTTTATATTGAATACAAGTCACTTTACCAATAGTATTGTCGCATGTGTCAATTCACAAAGTAGTTTATACAATAATAATTTTAAAAAATAAATAACATATTGCTTAAGTCGTAGAATCATATATAGCATAAATGTTATTTCTTAACGCAACTCCATCAAACCTTAGACATGTTTACAATACGAAATAGTTCAGAGTTACTTGATCGATGAGAGTAGATCACTGAAGCTAGAATATGTTCATACATTTCAAAACAATCACACTAATCTCTCAGCTGCCACAGTCCACGGAATTAAAAAGTCGCCCCGTTCCAACCAAAGAAGGATCCCTGCAAGAAGAACCAAACGAGAAAAGAAATGTAGAATTGAAATATCAGGTAAAGACTCCAGATGATGGATGACCCACTAGATCAGTTAGAGAACGGATTTAGGGACGTTGAACCTCCTAAATAACTCAAAACAAACAATAGTGTGGGTGTAAAGATTGATTGAGAGTTGTTGAAACGGTTTCTGCAAACTGTTTGTAATGCCTAGTTTATGAGTAAAAGTTATAGGTCTGTCTTATGATGAACTTACACAAAAGATGTATTTGTTCCCTATTCATGACCTAGTAGTGCTGGTGTAAAGCGTGTAAACACTGTGCATATTCTTGACTCTGATGGTCCTAGAGAGACAACGAACAATGAAAATGAGACATGGACGCATGAAATCATCATCATCATCATCACATTTGCTTATGTTATGTTACTCCATGAAAGGAAGAAAAACATCCAGAGATGGAATTGCTTGCCTTGGTGTCATAAAACTTGAGGAAGAATCGAGACTTGGGCACAGATAGCTTAGTCTCAAGAATAGCAGAAACGGCAGCGCTTAGCTTCTTGTTCACATCCGCATTAAGGCCACCAATAGAGACTAATTCACCATAAGCTGCAGGATCCTCGGTGCCGCCAAATGACATAGGCAGAGAGCCTTTCAAGACAATCATCACATACTGCAAATTACAATGAACAATGCAATCAGATAATGATCTAAGAAAACAACAGTAAGGACAAACAGCACTAACATAAACCAAGCAATCTTCAAAGCAGAACAATATTGAAAACAAACTTGAGCAATGCGAAATTCAAGGGTCAGGAATGGCCTAGAAACGGTGGTATAATAAAAAGACGAAACCCAAAATCCCAATTGAATACCATTGCTTAGTATCGGATGCACAATGGGCTAAATTTGCTTAGGGTTTCAATATCCTGCTGCATGTGAAGAAAACAAGACTCGAATCGCGAGAGGAAAGCGATTAAGAGATATGAACACGCACACAAGGCAAATCTCAGGAGAAAATGAAGATTCAAAACAAAATTCGAAACGAATTAAAGGTTAAAACAGGAGAGAAAGAGAGATTACGTTCTCAGGCTTGCCGATGATTTTGGCGACGGTGGCGGAAGCTTCCGAGAGAATGGAAGATGTATCAACGCCGTCAAGGTTAACGTTGGTGGAGAGGTTGAGACACGGCATTTTCTTCTTCTTCTTCTTTCCTCTATCACTCGATCGATGCCAATTTTCTTCTTAGTGAAGCGGATAAGGAGTGTAAGATCACAATTGGAATTTCCCCTTTCATCATTGAAGCCTTTTTTATTCGCTTCAGCCCAAGCCCATCCTTTTTAGGTTGCTTTCTCGTATCGTAGATTCTTGGGTTGACTGATTTTTCAGTCCTTAACTATTCGCAAACTCAAGGTTTCCCCCAATACTTTTTTGCTCTTAAAAAACCACCAACAACTATCAATTTTCTTAAACAAACACCACGTACTTTCGGATTCAGCTTGAAAAATACGCCTCCAATTGAACCGGCCATAAAACCGGGTTTAACCACAAATCCGCGTTTACTGTACCGCGATTAGGATTACCCGTATGATTACCCATGACCCGTTAAGAAAACGACGTCGTTTCACTCTTCTCTCAATTTCCCAAAACAAAGCCAAACGACGTCGTTTTCTTAACGGTACTCCGGCGTAGAGAGACACGCCTCTGAGACGATGTCCGTCACCGAGAATTGCATCCGCCGGGAAATTCCGATCGATTGTACTAGCACCAACGGTGGTTACCCACGGTGCGAGGTTTGTAGGTCCTTCGTTTCCGGCGGAAGAAGAAACGGAGATTCCTTTCGACGCGGCGCCGTATGAGCCTATAGCGATTGGATCGAGGTAATACGGAGAAGTAATCCCGTCACCACCACCGATTGAGATCGATATAACGTCGACGCCGTCTCTACTAGCCGCATCAAAAGCGGCGAGGATATCGGAATCGAGACAACCGGATTCTTTCCAACAGACTTTGTAGGTGGCGATACGTGCTTTAGGAGCAACACCTTTGGCTACACCGGAGGCGTAACCGGACATACTCGCTTTGAAAGCATGACGGCCGGTTGAGGAAGTGTGAGTACCGTGTCCATCGGCGTCACGAGGAGATAGAAACTCAACGTTTTTGTTGATTCCTCCGATTACGGCGTCTTGTTGCCCTTTAGCGAAGAATCTTGCTCCGATGATTTTTCGGTTACAGTTCCGAGGACCAAATCTTGCTCCGGATTCGCAAACACCTCTCCACCGTTTTGGAATTGGACCGAGGTTGAGATATGAAAAACTCCTCCTCTCTGGCCAGATTCCGGTATCGAATACGCCAATGATTACGTCTGATCCGTAATTAGATTGAGAGAAGAGTGAAACGACGTCGTTTGGCTTTGTTTTGGGAAATTGAGAGAAGAGTGAAACGACGTCGTTTTCTTAACGGGTCATGGGTAATCATACGGATAATCCTAATCGCGGTACAGTAAACGCGGATTTGTGGTTAAACCCGATTTAATGGCCGGTTCAATTGGAGGCGTATTTTTCAAGCTGAATCCGAAAGTACGTGGTGTTTGTTTAAGAAAATTGATAGTTGTTGGTGGTTTTTTAAGAGCAAAAAATTTTAGGGGAAATCTTTGAGTTTGCTAATAGTTAAGGGCTGAAAAATCAGCCAACCCTAGATTCTTTTAAACGCAACTTCTGCCCTCCGAAATTCGATTCGATGGATTGGTATAATATATTGAATTGATCTTCTCTTCTTATGACTAGCTAGGGTTATGGAATTTTGCTACATTCTTTTTTGCTCACTAGCTATAACAATAATTCTACAGTTACTAAATTGGTTGCCAATTGAACCCGAACTAACCGAATTGGTTACCAAGGTTTTTTTTATAGCAAATCGATATTTCCATTTTGCTTCTACTTCATGAAGGGAAACTCTTTTCCCAAAATTAATGCCTCTTGAGGCATATGATATGAATGGCTCTCTGTCTCTCATGACTTGGCCACCAAAAAACAATGGGTAGCTTCAAAGTTTCTCCATTTACAAAGCCACTGCAGATAGAAAGCAACGCCTACCGATCGAGGAACAAGGCACATTTTTCCACCCTTCACCTTCCTTGAAACACTCTACCTGTGAACACACACATGATCAAAGATTAAAGCGTGTCTGGTTATGTAAATTGTTTTACTTTTATTTCAAGTTCAGAACTGATCCTACAGTGTCTAATATGTCATCCTCTTCCCCTTTGTATCCTCCGATGACATATATCAAGTCTTTAACCACTGCCACTGCTGAATATCCTCTTAAATCCTTCATTGGTTCTCCTGTCATCCATGTCCCTGTCCTTGGCTCATATATCTCAACACTGGATACCATTGTCTCACCATCAAACCCACCAATTGCATATCTGCAAAAGAAGACAACCTTTAACATCTTAACCAGAATTTCTTCGTTAATTGTCACATGTAAACGGAAACATGCAAATGATATTATGCTAGTTCGTTAGAGACTGAATGTTGCATATTACTTTGTTTTTTGATTAATTGTTCTACCATTCAAAATGTAATTAACATTTATAGTCAGTAAAGCCTATATATTGTTGAATAGATCATCTCACTATCCCCGTGTGCTTGTTACTATGAAAGAAGAAAAAAAATGTGGAGAAGAAACTAACAGTTTTTCGTTCAGAACAACAAGGGAATGGCAGCCTCTTCTTGACTTCATCGATGCAATATTCATCCAGGAGTGCTCTCTAGGATCAAACCTTTCAGCTGTGCTGTTAAAAGTAAGTTTCCAATAAATTTGAATTTGTTAGCTTCACATAAATTTGTGTCAAGATTAGGGGGGGGGGGAAATAGAACAGAAGGCTTAAATGTTCTTACTTCAGGTACTCTTTACCATCAAAACCACCGACAGCATAAATTGAACCTTTATGCTCCACGGACGCAACTGCAAATCTCTGAGATCAAAGAACAGTGATAACTCAGAGAATAAAGCCGAAGAAAAGGTCATGGTATCATCTTGTTAAGGCTTCTAACCAGTAGGTGAGTGAAAGCATAAACTACATTTCTTTTGTTATCCTTGACACTCCTTACTTGAACGTCCAACTCAGCGAAATAGAGTAGTTTTAACAAAGGATTCCCTTTGGGAACTTACGTTTTTAGCTGTGAGCTTCTGTCAAAATTTTCCCATTAGGGATCTAATTGACAACTTTTCAGACTTTTGGCTTTCACCATATCTCATGCGAATAGAGAAGAACGTTTACCTCCTGCCCCATTGAACTTGTTCTGATCCATCTCCCTATGTCTGGATCAAGCATCTCAACATCTGAAAAAGATACCATCCCATTTCCACCTCCGATTGCAAATATTTTTCCATCCAAAGTGGCTCCACCTAAACTTCCTTTTCGCTCGTTTAAGGGGGGGCACAAGCTCCACTGGCCATCAGTCTGGTTATATGATTCAGCTTCAACAGAAAAAAAAGAAGAGGCAAAACAGAAATCAAAGTTCAGGCTTAAATAATTATGATTAGAGAGAAAAAGAAGAGTGTGGAGTGGTAGACATTAACTTAAAATATGAACAGCCGAAGTGAAGTGCATGAAATCAATACACCTCACTTCACAATTTAGTAAAAATACTAGAGCCATTTGGTTTAGTAATTTGCTGAAAGTCACAGTAGTATGCTTTTGCCACCCATATTCCGTTTTCTAATTCTTTTAGTTGTCTTTTAAGAAAATCTGGAAGGTTTATATATGTATCGTATACAGGCTCTAAGGCACTAAAAATAGTTAACACATTTTAAGAAACAAGAGAAAGAAAAGAGAGGCCGTACCTGTGTTGGTCCAGCCACGGCCACCGTCATCACCTCCAAAGACGTAAATTTTACCATCCAATTTTGCCACTGATGCATTTGAACGGATACAGCTCATTGAACTATGAGCCTTTACAACATTCCTGGATGGAAAATATGACTGCACTGATGACAACCATGTTTCAGAGTCTTTATCAAATCCCCCTAAAAGAAGAATTGCCTCAGTTGGATCTAAGCTGGAATCATCTGGTGAATGGATCTCCATATCACTACCACCAGCTTTGGTGATTAAAGGACCTGATATGGACTCCAGCATGTTGCAACGCTCTCTCAATCTATAAATTTCCTTGTGTGCTTCGTCCTGAAATACCAAATATCGAAAAGTAAAAGTGTCATGGTTTCTCCACCACTATATTTTGAGCTTATGGGTTCCAAAAACATGAGAAAAATGATTCCAAGATGAACCCTTGCTGAAAATGACAGAGGATCATTATTACTGATATGATGAGTGTGTGTGTGTGTGGTCATATTACAGATGCAAACAGAATTCCAGCAGGAAGAATGAAAATCAATAATAGCATTAAACAAAATCTTACCAGCTTCTCTTCCAAGTAACATATCTTGGTTGAATTTTCCAGCCCGTATGCCCTGAGTTCCTTCACCTCATGCATCAACTGCAAAAGATATATATTAATGCAATATGATCGCATTGATTTTGCTACACCCAAGAGACATGATAATCTTCCGAGAGGATATTAAAAGTCTCAATTAATTATAGATCATAGTTTTTGGAAGAGAAGCAAGCTGACATGGAGCAGTTCTACACAGTTAATAATTGACACTCATATGGGTATAAGTAGAAGGGGGAACAAACGTGAGGTTGCCTAAAACTTGGATATTTTGGCTGAGAAATTTGGGGGTTCTGTTTGTCGTTCATTCGGAGAAGATATAAAGGGGAAAGTGTTGACTCCAACAGATTTACACATAGACTTGTATAGGAAGTAACACTTCAAGTATTATAACTGGAGACCTAGTGTGAATAAGTACCAACCATATGTAGATACCAACATACCTGGCTTATTGTATGTGGAAGACGAGAGGATACAAGAGAACTGTCATCTTTTTTCCCCTCTGAACATGTTTCCTCTTCAAGTGTATCTCTGTCTTCCAAGTTCTTGCAGGGAGGAATGTTGGCTTGTTCAACAGTTTCAGTTAGACTATTGTCTCCATGCTCATCATGACCAAAGGAGAGATCCTTCAGTTTCTCAAGAACATAATCCTTCTCAATTTGTTTGGGGTTCTGTACGTCTGGATGGTTCTCAGAGAAACCAGGATAAGAAGCTGCAGCAGAGGATTCAGATTCTCTGCCAGAACTGAGTGCCACTTCCAAGCTACCCACTGGTTCATTCTCAGAAGGCTTAACCTCATCACTGTTCTCTTTCTTTTCACTTG